TTAGTCCCGAGCCCGTCTCTTCAGATGATGTTACCTATTGGGGGACAAGTTCCTTTACTTACAAAACAAATTCTATCAATTAAGGTATGTTATTTTGGTCATTCAAACCTGCCTCATATGTAAATACGTTTTTCGCTTTCTCACTCATTTTTTTCTTTATCTTTTTAAGCCATATTCAACCTTATCAACTCCAATAATGCGGCCAATTCCGAAGCCTGAATCCTGTGCAAGAATGACAGCAGCAAGAACCAAGTCAAGCAAGAGGAATACAAAAAAAAAAAGATACAAAAAAAAGATACAAAAAAGAATACAAAAAAAAAGAAAAAAATATATTCACAATTATCTCTCTATCTCAAGTAAAAACTCATAGACTAGCAGAATCCCTGAAATGGTCAAGCCACGGTTTGCTTATATGTTCAAGTCCAATTCCAAGTCTTGTCCAAGTCCAAGTCCAAGTCCAAATGTCCAAGCACTGTCCAAGCACTGTCCAAGTACTGTTCTAGTACTAGTCCTAGCACATAAATATATATAAACAAGTAGAGAAGTACACAAGTAGAGAAGTATACATACATATATACACACACACACAAACACACGCAATTTCTATTTTTGCTATTTATTTCTTACACACACACACACACACATACACACACACACACACACAAATACACACACACATACACACACACATACACATAGTCATAGTCATAGGCATACAAACATACATATACACACTTATATACATACATATATACATACAAAAGTAGAGGCGCATTTCTATCAAAGTCCAAAATCTGGGCTGTACCTCCAAGTCTCAAGGCCAAGTCGATTTCCAAGAAGGGGTCCAATGCAAAATTCCAAAAGCAAGTTCCAAAAGAAAAACCAAAAACCAAAAACCAAATCCGAGGCCTATACTAAGTCCTGCAATAAAACGGGCATATACTAAGTCCTCCACTCCAAAAGGATCAAATCCAAAAACCGAGGCGTAGACCAAACCCTATCAGAAATGATCAGGCACATATTAAGTCCTCCACTCCAAAAGGATCAAAAGAAATCCGACCCTGAGGCCTATACTAAGTCCTGTCCAAAAATTACACAGGCATATACTAAGCCCTCCTCTCTCTCTCAAAAAAAAAAAAAAAAAGCAAAAAAAAAGCAAAAAAAAAAGCAAAAAAAAAAAGCAAAAAAAAGAGCAAAAAAAAAAGCAAAAAAAAAAGCAAAAAAAAAAACAAAAAAAAAAGCAAAAAAAAAAAACAAGAAAAAAGATGAACAAACCGGAAGAACTCTGCATTGGAACCTGGACCTGGATTGAAGCAAAGCTGCGAACTGGAACAAGACTCTGGATTAGGACAAGGTATGAAATCCCTTTTTACACATATACATACAAAGCAAATGAAGTCTTTGATCAAAAACAAAAAACAAAAAAAAATGCTCAAAAAAAGAAGCTCAAAAAAACAGAAAGAGCAAAAAGAGCAATACCAAAACCCCCTTCTCTTATACTTTTCAATATCAAAACCCATCCTTTTATTACTATTCCATGAAATTGACTGGACAAAAAAAAAGAAGTAAAAAAAAAATCAAAAAAAAAAATCAAAATCAAAAATCAAAATCAAAATCAAAAAGTCCAAATTATCCCCTTTACTATGTGTGCTGTGTTCGGACAAAAAAAATTAAAAAAAAAATCAAAAAAAAAATCAAAAAGTCCAAATTATCCCCCTTTATTATGTGTGCTGTGTTTGGACAAAAAAAAAAGCAAAAAAAAAAAAAAAAAAAAAGTCCAAATTATCTTTTTTATTCTTTTCAATATCAAAATCATCCTCTTATTACTATTCCGTGAAATTGACTGGACAAAAAAAAAAATCAAAAAAAGAATCAAAAAAACAAGAAAAAAACAAAAAGTCCAAATTATCCCCTTTATTATTTTTCAATACCAAAATCCTCCTCCTCCTATCACTCTTAGATTATATTGACTGGACAAAAAGAAGAAGAAAAAAAACGGACAAAAAAAAAAGATCAAAAGAAATATCAAATGGACCAAAAAAAAAACCGACTGGACTTGACTGGAACCGACTGGACTGGACTGAAGTAGCATGAACTTGACCATCTTATATTATATTATATTTAATTTAACTTATATTTCCTTTATACAAACCTTTGAATAATAAAATTCCCCTCATATGTCTTTGATATCATATTTATATTTCTGTCTCTTTTTCTTTGGTGTCCTATATGGAGTTTACTGTTAGAAAGCCCAAGGAAAGAGGGACTTTGTAAACAATTTAAGCATGGAAAAATGTAAAATCTTAGTGTGGCTCGTTTCTCTTGATAGAACTCATAGCAGAAAATGTAAAATAGTGATCTCGGAAGACAGGGTTTCGCATTAACAAATAAGAATATGAGATCAATTATTTGAGGTAGTCACAGGTTAAATGCTAAAAAGTCGACCATTCAAAAAATATGGTCCGTGATTCCGAAACAACGGCATAACGATGATGTTTATGTTTTATGTACACACCGTAAATTCCATATAAGTTATCTTATGGTTATAACTACTTATTGAATTATGTATATATAAAGCTCAGAGAAGAATATGATTTTATCCAAGATGCTTTATATGGAGAATACAAGGCAACGATTGGGATCGTCAAAGACGAGTTGTTAGAGCAGCTTCTTGCTCTTAAGAGTGCAAACCTCTTTATCTCGACATATTAAAAAAAACGCCCACATATATATATGCAAAAGTTGAATTCACACTAAAAAAACAAAGCCTGTCAAAGAAAAAGAAAAACACGGCAGATTTGATCCAAAGTATATTAAAATTTGTTAGCCTACTCCAGCAACATTGCATATCTTACAAAACATGCTTTATTTCGTTGATGCAGCTGGATACAATACCGGTTTGATTAGTGGGAGAGGGTGATAAAAAAAACCCCCCAAACAAGCATTGAATCTTTCACTTATGCTAGTCATATTATATCAAAGTGTCAAAGACGTTGGGCGAAAATGGCTGCAGGTGATACAGACGCACAACTATTCCTTCAGTTTGTCAAGAAAGCCGCAGCGAGCTTAGATAGAGACAATGTCGTTTCCCATTAATTTATTATGGACAATAATGACACACATACAGCTAAACTTTTAAGATATTACTTACACAGCCACACGAGGCACAGGTGTCATATCCTTCCCTTATATCACTCATTCTTGAACCCCCTAGAGGAATGTTTTTCAAAGTTAAATAGTTTGGCTAAAAGAAACCCTGGTCTCTCTGCTGATGAAGCTGTAAAACGTATTAGTAATTAGTATAATACAGCTCACAACAACTACGTTAACATAGAATATTTGTATACTAAATAAGAAGCGGTTTCCTCTGCTATACAACCACACAATTTCTCACATGGAAAAACGTTATATACCACCATGCAAAAACTTTACCTATCTCACTTATCTTACTTACAGCAACTAATGGACCCATTTCGTACTCCCCAGTACTGACAAAAGCTGCCCGAGATTTTCATCGACAATTTTGCTCCTCATCCATACACTATGCATATGCATATTCTGACCTTGCTATATTCCGCAATTTCTTGTCTGTCCCCTATATTCATTTAACTTGGTCTGATAGTTGCCTGGTAGCGGTTAGTTTTAAGCTCACTGCCACCCACGAAACAGAAAATGGATTGTGTCGCAACAACCCTCAAATTGCCTGCAATCCCACCTTTTGTGATAAACTCGAAGATTACATTTATACTATTGTCTTTCTTTCCTCCTCATATATGTTCCCACAAGACTGATGAAATAAAAACAAACACAAACCGACTACTTTCATCAAGTCATTCACTAAGTACAGCACCCAGACACTCGCCACATTAGAGGCTAGACTCCAAAATAAACGCTGTGGTATACACATCATAATTGAGCGAAGAACAGACTCCACAACCAGACACTGGTTCCTTCTTGCTAATGGACCTGGCAAGTTAACAATATCCAGAGCCGTTACACGCCAGACACATGTATACTACACACTCATACAATGCAAACCAACCATAATACAACAGGGATTTGTTTTACAGGAATTTTAATAGTAATAGATATAAGCAATACTCTCTTGTGTCGCTACAAAATAACACTCTCACAGTATTCACTTTTCCCATTATTGGCGTATTAATCCAATAACAATCCCGAATACCTCAAACGCAACACGCTTATCCACAAGTTCAGGCATCATCCAGCCCAGCCTTTTTTAATTAACCGTCGTTGAAAGACGGTTACAACAAGTCCAGCCAGAGAGATTTAAGGCCCTTGTCCTCCGTGCTGACAAACACCGGTAGGAGAATGGAGAGATCTCAGCAGAATACCTCAGATGTACAGTTTCCGAACGACAGTCTCGAAAAAATACTAATCCTCTTCGCCATTCCTCTACAGACCATTTGCACACTGCGATTGCTAGCATGACCGAGGCGGCTGCTGCATTCTGTGAAGCTTCGTATACGCCTAAGCAAGTAGACCAGATACCCATAGACAATGTACTTCACAATCTACCCCAAGACTTTTACCTCTCAAATACCAGGTGTTCCTCACTGGCAGCCACATCTTCCGTTGCCAACATACGAGAAGGAGTGTCTCGGTCTCCGAGAAGAATCCCTCCATGACCAGATGGACTCCCTCATGAGACTCTTCAACTAGTATTTAATTATCCTTCCTGCACCCAGATACTTACCCAAGTTTACAACAAAGTTATCACGGGTGGTCGATTCCTGCCATCCTGGAAAGTCATTTGTGTGTTCCTGCTACCAAAGAAAGACAATCTTTCTCTTTTGAAGATCTTGCGACAAATTACCCACGTCAACGCTGATGCCAAGGGTTTCACTAGTCTTCTTAAAGCCCGCATGGTCAAAGCAGCTAGATCCATTTTAACCCCGTATAAAACTAGATTCGTCTATGGCTTTTTTTCTTACTGAGAATTGTATTCTTACGAAGCTGGTTACGTGCTATACAAGTTCCACTAGTCCTTCCGGAATCCGTCTTCTCTTAGATCAGGAAAAAGCTTATGATCGGCTTAACTCTAATTATCTTAAGCAAGTTATAGTCCGAGTCAGTTTTCTTTCTTTCATTATAGCCTGTGCTTCTAATTTTCTCTCTCATCCAACCTTAATATTAACGTCAGTGGCTTTGTTTCTTGCCTTCTTTGTCAAGTGCGTGAGTTCGGAGAGGGTGACATCATTTATCCCGTTCTGTTAAACCTGTTCTTCGGCCCATTTTTGCGCCAACACATCCACAATCCATAATTTCCTAGATTTGTCATACAAGGCACTTTCAACTAACCCTCTTCTCCTCCCATAAAGCCACTCTACTATGCCGGCAATCTTTTGGTTTCCCTCTCGCAGATCCAGAATATATCATGGTCACAGCGCCACAGCACCATATCGCCACTTGCGCCCCTGCTTCAAATGCACGTATCAATCTTCACTACCTTGGATTCCCAGCCATTTTCTTTCTGACCCAAACAACCACTTCTGCTCACAAATACCAGTCAAAATAGAGCATGCTTTACACATCCTCCTCTTCAGGGCCTTGTCTATCCGCGGCTGTGCTCCCGTGATGAACTCTTTCATCTTCTCGAAATTCTGGCAGCTTTTTTATGTTGTATCTGTTTCCGGTACCTTTTTCGCAAATGTTGAATATCGTATTACCCGTTTTCTCCAAGACCGAAGCTTCATCCCAGTTAAAATGGGTGGATTAAAGGCTTTGAATCGAGAATTTCAGCAAGGTGCTCTTCAGCTTCATTGCCTTTAATCTCTATTTCACTCTTTTTCCTCTCTTTCTGGTCTGGGAATGTCTTGGTAAATACATCTTCTTGGTCATTATCTACCTGGTACCCATCCTATTCTTCGTCTCATTTTCCTGACCTCCGATCAACTCAATTTTGGTCATATAATAGTCCTCTCTTTAACCTTTTTGTCGCGTGTGATATCCGGCCTCATGATTTTGACTACACTGTGGTAAATCTGGCGACTTGTATGGATATTCGTCCGAGTTCTGTCTCTTTTATTCCTTATGGTTTCTCTTGCTTTTCCTTCTTCTTTGCGTCACTCCCAGATTCGGGATATTTACAAGATTGACCCAAGCTTGGTTATTCTTTCTAGACACTTATCTTCTTCCCCCCCTCGTTCATCACACATTCTTTGCAAAATATATCAGCTTATAGATTTCAACTCACACTCCTTTGAAACCTTTGTATCTCATGCTTGTCTACCTCAAAGAACCTTGACTACTCAATTTGGTAACCTTATGATATACAGTCGCTCCGAAGTGGATCCATCTACACTTTTGTCATTCCATATGCATCTTCCAATATCTGCTTACGGTTATTTCATCGCAGGGTTTCTTGTCAATCAGTTATCTATACCGTGTTCCTATTGCATTCTCACCTCTTACTTGGCATTTCTTTGCAAATGATAACCTTTTTTTTTTCTTCCTCAAAATGATTTCTCTTTGTATAACTCTATCGAACTTCCCCACTGGCAGATGTTTCGGCACACGCAATTTTGTATTTTTTTCTTAAACCTCCGATAGTCACAATGTATTGTACAAGTTTACCTTCCCACTTCCCCTTGAACTCACTCTACAGCCCGCTTCCATAATTGGTCAAGTTCTTTTCGCTTTGTAGCAACACCATTGAGATCTTGTATATGATAAATCTCCTTTTCGTTGCTACTAATGTCACCACCAGAGATAGTTTTCTACTTCACTACTTACACAGTAAAGAAAACCTAGATCAACACTCATTTTCAGTCTAGATATCTAGCAATTTAATATCTTATACTTCACAAAAACATTAAATCCAAAAAAAAAAACAAGTTTTAATACCTTTTAAGCCTTTTAAACAAGAGTCCCACCAACAAACCAGAGCTCTGCTACATACAAACAAAAAAAAACTACTGTATTTTCTTTGACTAACAAGAAAAATTATATACCTCTGTGCTGGAGTAATTAAGGTCATCAACCCTGAGGAGTATTCGCCAGTCAACACTTTGAAAGTGAAGAGTAGGCTGCATTAAATATTGTTAATCTTGAATGTAATCGATTGTGACGTTTAATTATTGTTTCTATTCTTGTTTGTAGGTCATTCACTACACAGTGATTAGGCTTTTGTTTCTATACGCTAATTAGCTAGTACCTAGTGTTATTTATTTATTTATTTATTAAAAAAAAACGAATTTCGTCCGCTGAATTCGTTTCAATTTTTGAAACGGCCATCTCCTTGTATGCTTCGGAAATGGTGTCAACTACATTAAAAGCGTGTTAAACTTGTAAAATCACAAGCAACAGCATTCAATGTTCAAAAATATTATCAGTTGGGGGACTAATGTATGCAGATTGAGTTTTTTGTTTTCAATCTTCACACAAAGTCTTTTATTGTAAATTAGATTAAACAACTATTACGCGTAATTATATTTTGAATGGTGAGATTAAAAGAGAGCCATTCAGTTCTAAAATCAGTCTACTTTGTGTAATAGCACAAATATTCAAGGAAAAGCTGTTTTTAAGCGGTACTTATAATCAAGTTCTTTCTACATTTGACATCTTGTAATTACCGTGTCAAGGTTATTAATTACTCATTATCATTTTTCTTCAACTTAAATGCACAATAAAAGACAGATGTTTTTTGGAGACATGGTTTTAAATAGTTTTTATTTGAAAGAAAATTTTATTTATTAACATCTATACTTATTACTATTATTACTATCTACTTAATTTTTCTATATATATAAAAAGGATACAAAGGGTTGTCAAGCTCTTAGTCCCCACACAAGGTGGCTCAATCTCCCCCAGGACGAAAACCTGGCTTGACGGCGAGGGAGGCGGACAGCAGAGTATTATCTCAGACTGAACTCATCACGCTTTTACAAGCGGCACAACTGCAGAGGGGGCCAAGGACTACACGGCATGAAGCACATGTAACACATCTTTACCCGCGCTTCACAGCAATGGCGTCCCGTCCATGACCCATGTCTGATGGCGCCACTTTGGGGCAAAGTACCGGCTGTCGTCACTGTTCTGTGGTCATCGGTTTTCATAACTACATTCATAGCTAGAAATTCCTAATCGACAGCCGCATTAAAGAAAGAAAGAGAAAAAACGAAAACCAGAAAAAAGAAGTACTTTTATCTTTTTTTCTTTACCACTCAAAAGAAAAAAAATAGATGGGACTATCCCAAAAAAGGGAAATTCCATATGATTCCTAAAAGATTTTCATGCATAATCAGTCCATCAATCGATAGCCTAACATAACAACAGAAAGTCATTTTTGTAATTTGCAGAGAGCATCCTATCTGTCACTATATTATATACAATATACTGTCTGTAGCATAAAATACAAGAGGTTACGTTTGATGCTAATGATGACAGTAATTTTGATAGCATTTCTGGGTGGATTCCTTTAGCAAAGAGAAAGAGAAAAAGAAAAGGTATAGTAAATATTTTCATAAAGAAACACAATACAAGCAGCTATTTAATTTTGGGGTATATATATATATATATATATATATTACAAAATTGTTTTAATAAAGCTATATGAAATATTGCTTTCCATTGAGAAAGATTACAACAGACCGATATAGTCTCACACAAACATTTGAAGAATTTATGAGAGTAGACAGATGTCAAATACTTGAAAGGTATGAATATAGATTTTTATAAGCTGTAGGTGGTCAATAAAATTGAAAGAGATGCTTTTTTTTTTCATTATTATGCCATATATACATACAAGCACATCTATAAGATAGGGTAGGTCAGTCAAGTAGACTTGTGATATTATTGATTACAAGCACAAGCTATAAGAGAAATATATAAAAGAAAGGGCAAGGTAGTAAAGAAATATAAAATATGAAGAGCCAGAGAAACAAAGTAGCAAGGAATCTTATTTTACCAATTAATATTCTGGGAACTTTTGCTGGAATGCAAGATAACAAATCATTTCTCTCCGCAAGTTGCTGTACATAACGAAGTAAACTCAAAATTAACAGTGAATAAATGCTTTAAAATAGTCATAGTCCAATTTAGTTGTATGGTTGACAGGGTTAGTGTGTGCTTATACGTTCACAAAGTAGCCGGGAAGAATAAAAGTAGGTCAACTCGATGAGCTTTATAAAGAGCTTGTGCTTACTAGATTAGTAATTTTGTTAAATTCTTCCTATATATATAAGTAGCTTCACCATTCAAGAAACAAAGATAATTACTAAACACATTTAGCAAGCCCTCAAAATCATTTTCTGTGTGATAATAATGACAGGCATTTTCTCATGTATTGACTAGCAACTAAGTAATTTGATATCACCAAGGCTGCCAAAGTTACAAACAGCTTACTAATACTGACTTAATTTAGTATATTTGGATGGCTCCAGTAATGGTATTAATATTTGGTTTGATTGAGTAAAGTGTGAATAAGAAAATAAAACCATTATCTCATGAATCTAAACTGGATCAATCTCGCTCTGTTTAACAAAACCGCTATTGACAATAACGGCTTTATTATACATATTTCTTCAGTTATATATCCTGCTGTATCAGTGTCTTATGCTCTATAATTTCAAAATCCAACGTGATTGAACTTACACAATGGCAAGATTATCGTACCGTATTTTTGACTTTTATGCGCTAAAATTTTTATTCAAGCACTATAGTAAGTTTGGTGACTTTTATGGATATTCCTCTGGTTTTGGTTTGTTTTGTTCCCCACGGCCTCCCTACTATTTCTTCCGTTTGATAGGCATTTTTGCACACACGTTTTGACCTTTAATCTAATGTGTTCAATTTCCACAATACACTGTACAATTTGATCATCCCACCTCTTCTTGGCCTTACCTTGCTGTCTGCTTCTATCCTTAGTTCTGGTTTTTAGCCTTGGACCAACACAATTTGGTTCTTGTATCCAATTAATTACATTTTGTTATTATCAATGTTGTTTCCACATCTAATTCCCTACCACCCAGGCATATATTAAAGAGAATTTCTATCAGCACCAATTCCCTATATATATCTTTCAATCGCACATTCTATTTTATATTTTACAAGAACACAAAAACACAAAAACATTTAGATTATAAAAAAAAACAAAGACAAGGCGTGGCTCTCTTTACGTCTTTTTGGATAAGATTCTGACCAATAAGCCAGAGCTTCGCTCTATACAAACAAAAAATTGAAACAAGAATTTGTTACCTACATTTAGAGTTAGCCACAAACATAAATAGCTGCTATACTGTAAAGCTCAGATAATTACAAAAATCCTCAATTAACTAATATCGTTATCCTTTTAATAGGGAACTTAAATGATATTTATACTTTGTAAAGTGATTAAATTTTACCTTTGTGTCTATTCATCAGCTGTAACTCACTTCATTATTACTATCACCATTGAAACAGGCAGTGTTAGTTTATGTGATACATTGACCCAAACGGTTAAAAGCAGAAGAGATATATATCAATCTCCTCTAGCAGTTCTTTAGCCCAACTAGTGGCGATCGGAAGCTTTTTCTCTCGAAAAAGTCGAAAAGAAAATAAAAATGCTGTGTAAGAATATTCTTTATTGCTTTCGTCTTTTGGTGTTTATATAGATATTTTGTTAGTTAATAATGTACTACTAAGCTATTACTAAGATGCTGTAATAAACTATGCTCCTTTAGATAATTGATCAAGATAAGTTTTGTAACGGTTAAGCATGTATTTAAGTCTGAGATCGCTCATTTTTAAACAAAAAAAAGAAAGCTATGTTTGTGACATGATTTTAATAGAGCAAATGAAATGGTGATGTATTGATACAATGGGTGTGCTATAAAATCTTTTACTATGGTAATGAACTGTAATGTGAACCAGGTTCACGAAAGGAAATAAAGCCTATTAACAACCCGGTCCATTAACACGCTTATACTCAGAACCAGTTACCCGATATATTACAGCCAAGTTTCAATGTGATAGAGATGATGTGTACTTGTAGCAATTTTCTATCACACTACTACAAATGTATGTCCCTTCTAATACAAGGCAGAATAATAGCTTTAGATAAGTATAAAAAGTACCATATCGATTATATACTTTTATACATACAGTTTGACAATAATATACCACAAAGATGGTCATATCTGCTGTAATGCTTTTATTATTGTTATTATTTAGTATATTTAAGCCCCAAAGATTATTACTGATGAGCAATATTGCTTTGAATAATCATATGCATACCATTAATCATCATAGACTCTATACATCCCACCAAATCGATCAAGACTAAAAGTTTCACCAACTCTCCGCATCCTAGCTTATCTACCTACCTTCACTTGACGACATAATTACTGAAAGAACATAATTGGCTTAAACAGGCAATTGTTATATAGTTTAAATATTGTTGAATTTACAGCTGAAATGAAAGAAAAAAAATTGCTAAATAAAAAGGATCATTTTGGTCAAAATGGGAAATTAAATATAGAAAATCAGCTATATATCTACATCGGTTAAGAAAAGGGTCTTTAAGTTTGTATATAATCTGATGAGACACATAAAGACCCACTATCTAAAGATTGTCTGACATTGATTACTCAAATATTGATCAAAACGTCAAGACGTTTCAATTGAAAAGAAACCCCATTAATGTTAACATTTGGGTTATTTTTATCACACGGGCATGTTTCATATCAATATTTATTTAGGGTATACACCTCTAATTTTTTTATAAGGATTTCTTTACATAGCTAGAATAATATCAAGGCTTAAGAAGACCCAATGCTTGACCTTATACAAATCAATATAGTATCTGTGTGTTACCCTGGTTATTTATATATATATTACAAAAATATCCACTCAGTAATTTATTTAGCCTTGTGGTGTAAATAGATTATTTGCCTTTTTTTTATACTTCCTTAACAAATGTAGTCATTCTTAGAGTAGTTGATATCTCCCCGAGTTCGCGCTTGTTTCTGTTCAGACAAGTATTGGCAGGCCCGTATTTACGTTTTACACAATTTTACTTAATAGGAAAAAAAGAAATTTTTTCAAACTTTTTTTCAGTTGTCCTGTGAGTAAAAGTGGGCATCGAAAATGGACTTTTTTGGTGTAAATAGCCCAATTTACAGTGGATCAAGATTTTATAGAGTGAAAATGTGGGATGTTTTGGTCAATATTTGAGCAATCGATGTCAAAAAATATTGCTAAGATGGATCTTGATGTGTCTAACCAGGTTGCCTATAGTTATAGAGCCTATTAGCTTTATGAATAGTGATTTACAGCTGATTTTCGGTGTAGAATTTGCCAATTTGATCAAAATGATCATTTTCATTGTTAGCAATTAAGATTTTTATAATTTATATCTCGACACAACAGCTTTATACAGCTAGGACATAGGTATTAAGACACTGCTAATGAAATAGTAGCTTTCTCTAAAGAGACATATAAGAGATTTAAGGAAACAATAATTTGTATCTGATATGTCTTTAAACATTGATAAAAAGGTCAAATCCATGAAAGTTTAATATAATATATATGTGTGTGTGTATGTATGGCAATAGCTGAGATAGATATTCGTTGTCTTCTACAAGTATCGGATACATAGATTGATAACATTTTATTATACATACTTTTTAACTGAATATATATCTAGTAAGGAGAATTAATCTACAAATTTGAGACATAATTTATAACCTTTAACAGAAACGGCCAAAGTCAAAGAAAGAGTTTTTGACAGATTTAAACCGAAGTACTAATGTGCCTAGTTGAAGATCTCTTTTCCAAAATCTCTTTTGTAAATAACCACCACGATACTGTCCCATGTTTCCAAACTTTTTCTCATAACCTTTTCTGCGGATAAAGCTTTGATAGTATTTTTCAGCATATTCGATGTCACGCTTCCCAAGTTCCCATGCAGACATTTTGCTAATTTTGCCTGTCTTGATCAAAGATGTATGGTACCAGTTTGATCGAGTTGTTTGTTGTTTACGGCTTGAATTCGATTGATCTGTACCGACGTTATCCAGTTGCTCAATAGCAAAACTTTTGACAGGACTACAGTTCAGTTGGATACTAAAAAGTATCAATGTGTTCAATTGTGTAAACGGCATATCAAGCACCAACTGTCCAGTTTTCTTGAAACGTAATCCATAAAGTTGAACAGAGCTTAATTTAAGGATAGAAAGGGTTTTACAGCACACGGATACGTATTTAAGAACATGTGCATTGGTTTCGCACCTTATCAATCTCAATTTCTTTAAAGGATGTTCGCTGAGACGGTATAGCGGAAGTCTCGAGAGACATATTTTGGAATTGTATAAATTCAATACTTTTAGTACCGGACATTTGTCTATAACAATATCTATCTCAATATCATAACGTGATTCCATGCGTAATTCAACTAGGTTTGGATATGAAAGGAAATTGGTTGTAATCGGTATATGAAAGTGAGAAAAGGTCAACTCCTGCCACGAAATCTGCAATGATTCGGAAATTGGTCTCATACATCGGTCGTGCCCATCCAGTGGCCCACCGGGAAATCGACAATCATAGACTCTAACGTTACTTATTTTTACGCCAAAGTGTTGAAGAGTGTCGTAGAATATTGAAAACGGCCATCCGTTCTGAGATCCAGTGAATGTAACTGCTGATTGTAGACGAGGAAAGAATTGATCAAGCGTTGCTAGTAATTTGATATCTTCTAAGTAGTGTTTCTGATTATAAGACATTGGGTCCATGTGGTCGTCTTTGAGGCCATCCTCGAATTCAATGTGAATTAAATTTGGTAATTTGAGTGCAAGATAAAATATCCAGGAAGCGTCAACGTAATCATGTTTATGGTGCATACTTGTAAGAGCATGTACTGGAGTAACATGTTTTATTTTATCAATATCATTTCGTGATATTGGCTCAAATGTGTAAGTGCATTTTAAAAACTCCAGCTGTGGCAATGTGTTGTGAAGGCAGTCAATGTCCTGCCAAGAAATAGTTTGCTCGTCGTCATATCCTGGATATCCTGACACGGCTTCTAGTGTAAGGTGGGTAAGACTAGGCAATTCTGACAGCTTTGTAAAAAGTTTTTCAAATATAACCGGAACACTGTATTCGAATTCCATTCTCAAACGTGACAGTAGCTTCCAGGAACCCCAATTAATTATGTAAAACCCTTGATGAGCTGTATACGGGTCAAGATAGTCAAGGCTTTTTATCCCACTGTAGATTCTCTGCAGCTTTGAAAAATTCTTCATGTCATCCAACGGTACGCAATCGAGAGTTAATTCTCGTACACGATGTGCGTTCTTGAAACAGACCCTGCCCATGTTGGATTCAGTGCTCATTTCTTTCATAATGTTGACTTCCTCGAATTTCGTCTCATGCCAAAAAGCATCTAGAAATGCTTCTGTCCAGTGTTTACAGACTAGTGCACAGTTTATCAATTTCTCCTTTGGAACTCTTGATGCAATATTTGAGAGAATTTCGTATGGTAATTGGGGTGCCATGTTTAATTAACGAATTGAGAGAGAGAGAGGAGGGTGTATTAAAGAAGTGATATTATACAGTGTTTTTACTTGAGCTTGAGACGATGTTAATTCTTTTTTTTGTCCAAAAAAGGTAAACAAAGTGTTCAAAAAATAAATTTTCATTCGTCCAAAAAAAAAAAAAACTAACATCGTCTGAATTCAAAGTAGAAACGCTGTACTGTAGATTATCGGGACTGACAAGATACTTCAAGTTTAAGTTTAGCGTCAAATGATCGATGATGCCTCATAGTATATGGAATTCTTATTTTAAAGCCAAAACGAAACTGACAGCTACCTAAGCTTTAATCGTTTTGTGATAATATTTCTAGAGTATTTATCACATTAATTTATAATGGTAAAAGACCATAATTACTTGGTACTCGCCATCCATAACTGTATAACATAGATTCTTGCTATAACTTTATTGATAATTATAAAGTCAGTATGGCGTGTGATAACTAAGCACTAAAAGAAATCCACGGCAGCCATCAAGAATAATGTTGAATATTAAATCCTAGATGAAAATGTAAAGGTAAATACGATTAGTGTGTACATACGAATAAAAACATATAAAAATAGTCAATAGTAATATCGGCTGTTCATAGACTCTCTTTGCATCTATCTAAAGCTGTGTTTAGTCCACCAAGGTTATACTGGTGTTGGCGTTTATTCTCGCTTCATGAAAGGCTCATTCAAGTTCTCAAAGGTAAGCCCCTCATTGAGGCTCTGACCTATCTGGAAAGGCATTTCTAATCTTGGTATCCGCTACTATGCTGCTAATTTTTTCTAATTGTTCCTTGTTTCATATTGTATTCTTTGTATATATCTATATATCGCCTGTATTCTCAGCAGACGTGTGTATTTACTACTTTTCTATAACCCGTTTTCATTAACAAGAGACTTTTCCGTGCTCCTTTTTCACTATTAAAATATCTTATATAGCCGTAACACTTTAATATTTGTATTGTATCCATTCAAGCATTCATTCAAATCATATTGGTAGCCTATTGTGTCCTAAAGGTCTAGGCTCCAAACCCCAAATTTACACACAAAAGATATATATACAATTCGTCTGCTATGTGTATATGTATATTCAACCAGTCATATAGACCTAATTAAATGATGTTGATTTAAAATAGGGTTTCTTCTCTTTTTAAAGATAAATAAACACATCATTAATAAGCTTTATCAAGTAGCTTTATTGGCACAAAAATAAAAGTTTTTGACAGATCTAGAATGAAATAATACAACGCCCCGCTGAAGATCTCTCTTCCAAAATCTTTTTTGTAGATAACCTTTCCGATATTGTCCCACATTTCCATAATTTTTCTCATAGCCTTTTCTGTGGGTAAAGCTTCTGTAGTATCTTTGAGCATATTTGACGTCGTGCTTCCAAGGCTGCCATGAAGATATGTTGCTATTTGGGTTTGTTTTGTCCAAGTGTGTGTGTGACCAGCTTAAATGCTCTGCTCCCTGGTAATGGTCTGGATCCAACTGATCATCATCGGTACTATCCGTTTGTTTGATACAAAAATGTCTGACAAAATCATAGCTTAACTTGATGTTATAAAGTACCAATGTTTTCAATTGTGTAAACGGCATTTCAAGAACCAGCTGCCCGGTTTTCTTCAAACGCAATCCATCAAAAGTAACGAAATTTAATTTGATCCACAAAAGGTTTTTGCAACGGGAGGATAGGTATTTGAAGACATGTGCATTGGCCTTAGAATGTGAAATGTCCAGTCTTTTTAAAGTGTGTGAACGGTTGGGTACAATGGGTGATTCGAGAGACATATTTTGGGCCGATGTATTTTCAATACTTGTAGTGCTGGGCATTTGTCTATAATAATGTCTATTTCGACAACAGATGATGATTCCAAGTACAATTCAAATAGGTTTGGATACGAGGATATATAGTTACTAATTGGCATTTTAAATCGAGGAAAGTCCAAACTCTGCTTCGAAATCTTTAGTGATTCTGATATAGGCAGTAAACATCTGTTGTGGCTATATATACTCTGTTCCCCCCCTTTGAGAATATTCACTGTAACGCTCTCTGGATTAACGCCAAAATTACGGAGAGTATCGTAGAATATCGAGAATGGCCATCCGTTGTGCGATCCTGTGAGTGTATTTACTGATGTCAAACAAGGAAAGAATTGATCAAGCGTGGCTAGCAATTGAATATCTTCTTGATGTCTATTTCGACTGTAAACTATTGAATCCTTTGCGTTCTTTTTGTCACTGTCGAAAAATACGATACTGCATAGATTTGGGTACTTGAGTGCAAGGTAAAATATCCAGGAAGCATCAAGAAAATCATAATTATAACCTATGCTTGTGATAGTATGTGCTGGAGTAATGTGTCTTATTTTTTCAATGTCGTCGTTTGGTATTGGTCTGAAGGCTGGATTAGAGTCTAGATATTCTAACTTTGGGATAAAATTATGCATTGATTCAATTACGAGCCATGGTACACTTTCATCTTCTTCGTCGTCGTCATCATACTCAATATCGTATGTGTATAAAGGTTTTGAATTCAGTGTAAGGTGAGTGAGGCTGGGCAATTTTGATAAGCCTTCAAAAAGCCACGTTAGTTGCTCAGCGTCCTGGTATAAACAAGTTATTTTCAAGTGCGACAATAAGGTCCAAGGACTCCAGTCATTTAAACATAAATATGCATACTCTAAGGTATCTTCAGTGTATTCGAGATGTTTTATCCCACTAAAGATTGTCTGCAGCCGGGAAACGCACTCAGTCTCCTCTATATCGTTTACTTTTACATATTTTATAATTAATTTCCACACCCGGTGTGCATTCTTGAGACAGATGTTGTCGTGCTCGGTTTCATTATATATATATTCCATAGTATTAGGCTTGAGTTTTGTCGTATGCCAATAAGCGTCTAGGAAAACTTCTTTCCACTGTTTGCAAACTTGTGCGTAATTAAGTAGGTCATTTTTATCGGCTATGCCTGCAATCTTTGAAAGAATTTCGTTCGGAAGGTTTAATGCCATTGTACAAAATAGAAAGAGAAAGACATTGTACATGTAAGAAGGCCAATAAATAGTAAAATATCCAGCAAGATTGTGTCACAATTTAATTAAAGCATCTACCTGTGATTTTCTCCATAACATGCTATTAATATGCTAAATATATTTTATGGTCAAGTAAGTCTAGATATAAGCCTACCATTGAATATATTGTATGAATTTCAGGACACACTATTTTGTCTTGAAGTATTAGACGAAGACACTGGACCCTAGACAGGTAAACAAAATAAATTCGCCCGGTTAGATAGAAAGGCCATGGCTCGCCAGAGAACTTTGACCCTGTAGGATTGCTGCTCAAATAATTCAAGTTAAATACCTCCCACCTCGTACGGATCTTATTTGAACTTAATCTCTGAGAATATGGTAAAATATACTGATATATTGATTGATGGATTGATTGTTTTTTTCTTTCTTTACTTCACAGTGAAGGTACTATTAATTGCGTCTTTACCTGTATGATTATCTATGGATAGTTTCTTGGTGTGTACTTGGGTCTCTCTGGAATGGTATTGATTAATACACCATTAATAGTTGCCAACAATCAATCGGCTCTAATTCTAATGATAGCCAAAAATGAAGATGAAGAATAAGAATATCGTGTGCTTATGAAAAAGGGTTTTTGTTGTATTATACGACACACAACATGATATATGTATATAAGAAAGTGTATAGCGTTGAAATTTTACTTTTGTAAAGTCTCGAATAATTCTCTAAGAATATTGGCAAGTATCTAAATTTCAATGAATCTATGCATGTAACAATGAACAAGCGCAATTGTTCACTGTAAATTGTAGGAACTAATTTAATATCTGTAGAAAAAGCAATGGCTATTAGATATTCCATTCTTTCTTCTTCTTTTTTTTTTTAATAAAATGGTTACTCAATGATTGATAGCTATATTACATCAACACTATTAGAATTATAGTGATATATAGTTAAAAGGTGAAATAAAAGGTTCCTTACTTCCTGACTAAAATTTATAGATTTTGACCTTTTCCAAGAGTATCTGTGATAAAGGACCACCCCATTATTTTGATTACTGTGAAGATTATGTAGTAAAGCGATAGGATTATTAAATAGCTTATTAATTTTTATCTTTACTATTATTATTGGCTCATTAGATTGTTTTATTACATTTTAGCCAATAGACTGTACAAACTTGCACAAGAAATGAAGTATTATTAGTATATTTTTTTTAAAAAAAAGAAAAAAGCCTCAAGTGTAGAAAATACAATAGATATATCGATTTTGGCTTTCTGTGTTTTTGTTTTCATACTTATTGTAATATGTGGTATTTCTAGCATGTTTCCCACCAAGCTGAAATAATAGTAACTTGACAGTTGGTCTTTCCTATTCAGTCAAGTTACAAGATAGCTCTCAAAAGATCCCAAACTTATTAATAATGGATCTTGACTTTACTGATTCTGTTCTTAATCTTTATACATACAATCACAATCACAGGCACAGTCAACAGATACACACTCAGATGTGCCGGCTAAGGTTCAGGGCTTAGGATGACCGTTTATCTCGGTTAATTATTATTACTATGGCTCATAGGGGCTTAGCGTGAGCTGGCTTGTGTACTCCTTATTTATCACAAAGTAATTCAGGTTGATTGAATATATAGATATATAGATATATACATAAAAGTGTTTGATGATAGACTAAGCTTTATTTTTTGGTTTATTTTACAGAGTTAAGATTTCAATAAAATACTATACTATACTATAATATTATAATACCGTATAATACAATACAATCTTAAAATAAAATAAAAATAAGCGCAAAAGTGATCTACAGTTTGAGTTATACTAAAAAAGGAAAGGGAAAGTAGTACACCAAGGTGGAAGTGGTTAACTTTTATTTATTTTATTATTGTTTTTTAATGTCAAACAAACAAGACGTAGAAGCAATCGAGATACTAGACACATATAAGATATATATATGTATGCGCGGATAACTAAACCAACCTAATCAGAGTCTTGCTCGATTTTTGGCTCTTATATAAAGCCATCAGAATAAGAAGAAGTCTATCAGGATACAAATCAAGAGCCAATTGAAGTTTATTAGTATGCTTACTATTATTTGCCTATATTCATATTGCAGTAAAGTAGAGTGCAGCGCAGTAGAGTGCAGTAGAATGGAGTATAATATGTCATAACATCGTTTAATGTAGTGTATTTGTTGAATAGGAGGTAGGTTAATAATAACTTTTGGGCCATTAACAAAGTCGGGATTTGCTCACATATTTTATTTTTATTATATAATATATTTATACTATACTATATTATATGATTCTATTTTTGGTGGTATCTTGTTTTTCCTTTTTGTTACCCTCTACTTCTCTCCTTTCTTTCTTTCTTTCTTTTTTGTATCTTCTTCTTTGCCTTTCTGTTAGACCCTTTTTTTCCCTTTTACTTGACTCTCGTATATACCCTCTCTCTCTTTTATACATAACACATACATTCTTTCTATACCTTTCTTATTTGCAATCCAGCAAAAAATATAAAAATAAAATAAAAATAAAATAAAACAAAAAAAGAAGACTAAGAGGAAGTAGTAGCAGTAGCAGTAGCAGTAGCAGCAGAAGCACTGGTAGAAGAAGAGACAGAAGAAATGCAAGCCAACAGGACTAGAAAGTATATTCAGCTCTTCAAGATCAAGATCTATCACAACAGAGGGATTGCGATGGCAATCGCAACCTTTGTGTTCGTGACCTTGTGGATTTTGATCAGCAATTCCGAGAATCCAGAAATCTCCTGGAAAGAGGAACGTTTTCTGTCATACTTACCACATTCTGGTCTCTCAAATCAACGAATCGAATTAGCCAATGCACTCTTGCTGGCAGCAATTCTCAATCGTACGCTGATCATTCCACCGGCATTTCTTGGCAATGTAGTTGGCTGGATGCCGAGAGACGAACTCACCGAACATCTAAGCTGGCTCACGACCCCAAAGAACTTTAATGTGATCTGCCAGGAACCTACGTCAGGTCTGTTGCGGACCTACGTGCGACGAAGCAAATGCGAAGAATACATCAACTTTGGTGCAATGGCCTGGACAGACCTACACGATTTCACGCCCTTGCTACCCCACGTCCGGATTCGCTTCCACGACGTTGTCTCGCTGCCGTTGATCCAGCGCGAGCTCGGCGTGTCAGAGAACGAGACGTTTGAGTATCGAGACCGGCAGCTCTACGACTGGCGCCTGTACGAGGACCCAAAGGTTGCCAGAGAGATCCTGGCAAATGGAACAAACTATGTGGATTCATTCACAGGCCGTCGGTACTACAAAGTGTTTACGCCGCAACAGTGGCAGGACCGGCCTGAGCGCTTACTGCAGCTCGGAGGAGTGTTTGGATCGACGCGCCTGACACTGCAGAAGCCAGAACATATTGAGCTGCAACGCACGATTGGGTCTGTACTGCAGTACCGCAGAGACAATCTGCTCGGTGACACAGTGAGAGGCATTGTCGAGCACCTTGGTGGACCGGGGTCGTTTCTGTCGCTCCATTTCAGGACAGGCGATGCGCCATTCCGTGGCCAGGTCGAGGCGAACCTGGAGATGTTTATCCGCACAATGGCCAACATCACAGGTGCGCCGGTGATGCTTCCGGTCGAGGCAGTCGAGAAAGAAAACTCGCCTGCGTGGCGGCTGGAGGGTCTGCAGTCCCAATCGCGGTTCCAGTTAATCCCCCCTGAAGACCTCACAACCCCGCCATGGTCTTTGTTCTGTAGTCCTGTGCCCGCAGATCGGACAAAGTCGCTCCAGAACTTGAATGCAAGAGTTCTTGTGTACATTGCCACCGACCATGAAGACCCACGGGCTCTGGACAGTACCATTCTGCCCTGGTTTGACCATTTCCCATGCACAGTCACTCTTCGGGATATCCCTTCAGCACTGTTAGAACCTCTGGATGGGATCCGCGATCTTGTTGATCCTTCAAAGTCGCTCCGTCCATTTCTCATCCCATTGGTTGATGCAATGGTTGCAGCCCACGCACGAGAGATCCTCACTACCCCAAGATCTACATATTCACGTTACATCGAATCGTTGAACCGGGCATGGGTACCAAGAGACTTGTAAAAAGAAGAAGAAGAAGGGGAAGAAGTAAGGAAGGAAATGAAAGAAGCTAAAATTCCAAAAAAAAACAACCCAAAAACCCAAAGTGTCATTGTGTCGATTTTCTTTTTTTTTTTTTAAAATTATATACGTATATTACAATCTTTCTCTCTCTCTTTTTCGAGTGCATGTACATAGCCCTCTTTTATATTTATTTATTTAAATATATATATAATATACCTTTATATATTTCTCTATTTCTATACATTTATTACGATTACGATTACGATTACGATTACGCTTATTATTATTTTCTGTAGACAGTATTTTTTGCTTTTCTTTCTTTTACCAGATGATGTAATCACATACGCAGATGTGTATATACATAGACTACCATTCTCTTTTTCCTTTTTTACTTTACTTTTCTGCTAGACTTCCATGTATCATCGGCTGCTACCATCTCAACAATCATACGGTAAAGGAAGTAGAAGAAACACTAGGGTTTACAAAGGTTACAAAATAAATAAATGAATCACGTCTAGAGCTATTAGCAACTTACGAATGCATAAAACGCAATTTTGATAAAGTATTCTTTTTTGTGTGCCCACATCGTACGAAAGATCTCTGTGGCATCAAAGAGATAATCGTTTTTGTAAACCCTGTCAGACATCATAAATGATAAAGAAGAAGAATAAGAGAAAAACGGTTATAAAATAATGACAATACGATTCAATAGATAACGTCTTGTGAGGTGCATTTACTTTTTGGCGTGGAATATAAACATGGGTAGGTGAATCAAGACAGCGATCCAGCTACCGTTCAGTACAAATAAAGAGAACATTGCAGCATGTATAGCCATTTCTGGTATAATAAACTACATACATACATATGATATGATTAATAAACTTGGATATTAAAGAATATACAATACACTATATGCGCATATATTCTCCTTCCCCTCTTTCTTTTGTCTCTTTATCTCTTTACCTTATTTAATTTACGACAAAGGTCAAAGGGGTTGATGTAATCACATTCGAGATCTGTGAACATGATGACCTAAACGCCAATAGCGATGAGAATGATGATGACCATAAAAATAAAAGACACACATATATATATATAATTGGTTTCGTTTGTATATGTGTTTAACAAGGGAAAGGATATGTAAAACCTTACATAAAAGATACTCAGGAAGAGCATCATTATCGAAAACACAGACGCAATTACGAACAAAAGTACTTGACCCATTACGATGTAATAATTTAACAGAAAAAAAAAGTAGAAATAAAAATGATAAAAAAAAAGCGGTAGATTTTATTAACCTGGGTGAACTTTATTATTTTATTATTTTGGTTCTTTTTTTTTGATATCCAGTAATAAAGGACTATATTATATTTATACTACTGCCTTGCTGACTTGCTACTGCTTTACTTCTTTATTACTTTATGCCTACTCACTACCTAGTTACTGATTACTTGTTGCCTAGTTGTTGCCTAGTTGTTGCCTAGTTACTGATTACTTATGGCTTACTTCTTTACAGGCTTACTACTGACTATTAGGATTTAAGTCACAAAATAAGAAATCTTGTACTTGCTACTTTTTTTTTTGTTGGTTCCGCTCCTTGTACAAAATGTCCATATAAATCTTTTCTTCTTCTTCTTTTTTTTCTCTTTTACCTTTGTTAGTCAAATAATCCCTTTTATATATATATTTTAAGAACCAATTAAAGTGCTTCATATATAAATATATATAAAATTTTGTGTGCACGTACTTTTGTATCTATCAAAGACTATCGAAGACTATCAAAGACTATCAAAATCCAAAGCTTTTTATTTTATTTTATTTTATTTTATTTTGTTAGTTGATTATTGAACACCTGGAGGGCGTTCAATACGGACTTGTTCCCAATCATCATCATCATCAGATTTTGCTTGAAGACGCTGTAAGATAAAAAAAAGAAAGAAACAAGAAGAAAGTTGTATTAGATTTATGAGAATATAATATAGTGTATAGGATATAAGCATCAAATATTTGTATAAATATAAAAGATATAGATAGATAGTTTACCCAGTACTCTTCTTGAAGACTCAGCTTTCTTCTGTTCTTGTCAATACCCAAAGCGTCTTCTTTGGCCAACTAAAACAAAGTAAATAAAAAGAATTAAGTAATTGAAATTGCTATTGTTGCTGGTTTTGGTGTTGGTAATGTTGCTGCTATTATCACTTGTTGTTTACTTTTGTGTTTCTCATGTCACGATGATCATAACGTGTTTGGGTGAGTTGAGCAAGTCCAAATGAACCTCCAATCATGATTGCAAGGAATGGTAAGCCAAACAGTACAAATGGGTGCTTCTTGGCCTTGGCTGCAAGAGGGCCAAGAGTGCTCTGGCGACCAAAGGGTTTCGACTGGAATGTAGGCATCCTTTACACACACATATAATATTTTTATATAATTTGTTAATTCTAAATCGACTTCTTACCAACACCCCTCCCCCTTCTTTTTTTTTCCTTCTCCTCTACTCCACTTTCATTCTCCCCTTTATTTTCTCTCTCTATCTTTCTCTCTTTATGCCTGTCTTTCTCTGTCTCATCATTTTGCTTCTGTAACAATAAGCCACCGTGTATGCCATTGATCCTGATTTGGAATGGAATGGAATGAAGTCAATTGAAGTCAATTGAAGTCAATTGAATTTGATTTTATTTGACTCAATTCGATTGGACTTTGTATATATACTTTATTTATTTATTTTTCGCCAATTAAATACAGTATCCTCGTTTTCAAAATGTGCGCATGTACATGTATATCGATGCTATAAAAATGATGCTAATAAAACAAACAAGTACATGCACTACACACACATTATATTGTTTTATATCAGACATATGCAAAGATCTTACATTATTGTGATTATATAGCCTTTAAACTTGATGGATTTGGTCTTGGATATCAAAATTGTACCTTTTACTATCTTTAAAGATGGTCAATTGAATCAAACAAGACTCAAGCACCAAAAAAAGCAATATATATGAATGTTTCAGCATATTTTACAATGAGAATTATCAATATTTCTAATTAATCCTTTTTCTAAAGAAAAAAAGAAAATTCATTCATATTTAACATTTTTACAAATTACTACTGAGCACAAAACACACTCATAAACTACAAATCAATACCACCCAAAAAAAATCACTTTACACATTTGTACATTTCCTTATTTCCTCATTTTTTTTATTATATAAAATATGTTTTACATGAATGTTTTATAGTCTCTTTGGGTTTCAATTGTCCAAATCCAACCTATATTATTTTATTATTTTATTATTTTATTTCTCTTTTATATCCTACCTAATATTATTATTATTATTATTATTTTCATTCCTTTACAAGAAACCTATATCAACTTTTATATATATAAATATATAAATACAAACTTAAATATACTATTTTTATATAAAAATAATAAATAAGCTAATAAAATAAATTAATTAGTTAATAATTCTATCGTCATTATTACTACTTCTTCTTCCAAATGGTTGTTCGAACAGGAAAACCAACCCGGCGTCATGTCATTCCTTTACTAGCCATTACGATTCTGGCCTGTTTGTCTTGGCTTCATCTCCGAAACATCCAAGATGAATCTTCCTCTTTGGGCGACAATAGTCTCGAATACACCAAGCCATCAAGGCACCAGGACGACAGTCTGCAGGATGGCATTGTGTCTGTGGACCGGGCACAAGGAGACAGTCTTGACAGGGATGAGGCCATGCGACTAGTGAACCAAAAGTACTGCGGTCAAGACACCTGCCGCTTTATCTTACCAATCGTCATCACCGAGCAGGAATCAAAGGCCCAGGAGCACTTTAGGCAGATTGCCTATCTCTCGGGATTCGTCAATCGAACGATCGTCCTGCCGAATGTCCACACCTCGCACCTGGGTGCCTGCCGCCGCAAACCGTTTAGCTTCTATTACTCGTACTCATGGCTCAACAAGAACCAACATGCCTTTGGATACATATCGATGCGCAACTTCAATATGTGGCTCAAGGAACGAAACGAACTCGACAGATCTCCGGTCGGCCAGGAGGTCTACCTAGAATCAAATGGAAATCCAAATTATCTTGATTTGCCCAATTGTTTCAAGAACCATATGTTTATCGATCGACCAGAGTCACATTTCTATCTCGAAGACCCCGAACAATTCGAAAAACGCCAGGGTAACTACACACAGCTCCTTACGGCTGCCCTAAGTGACGAAGCCCGGAATCAGGACTATATCAATCATTTTGGGATGACTGAGGATAAACCGCCAGTAGTGGATGTGATTCAGCTTTATTATGACAGAAGGTAAGAAAGACAAGAAAGGAAAGAAAGAAAGGACACTAGAATTTTGATTATATATGTTATATTCATTATAAAACATATAACAATAATGGATAATAATGATAATTAAGAACAATAAATTGGTGAATGAATAGAGGCAGTTGTATGTAGCTAAGGATTACTTGTTTATTTATTTTATCTTTTGCCTAGATTCTCATTTATTGAAGATCCAAGAGCAGACGAACCATTGTCGTACAGTGATACCTGGACATCGCTGGCTGACAAGATTGCCGAGCAACTAGAGCCATTTGTCGCCGTTCATTGGCGCATGGAACGCTTATCGCCCTTGGACAACATGATCCTGTGTGCCGCTAGTCTTGTCGGCAAGGTTGAAGAAGTTGTCTCGGACTCTTCTCCATCCTTGCCCTCTCTTTCCTCACTCGAATCAGAGGCAGAAGCAGAATTTGGCTCAGAGATAGAAGCAGAAGCAGAATTTGTATCAGAGGCAGAGGCAGAGGCAGAGGTAGAGGCAGAATCTGGAACTGGATCCGGATCTGAATATGAATCTGAACTAGACCCAGACACCGACCCAGACTTAGACTTAGACTCAAACTCAAACTCAAACTCAAACTCAGACCCAGAGTCAGAGTCAGATCTTGAAGCAGAATCATCATCTTCACTAGCATCAACATTATCATCAATATCATCATCAATATCATCAATACTATCATCCACAACATCAGACTCATCAGACTCATCAAAAGCATCTTCTTCATTAATATCAAAATCAAAATCAAAATCAAAATCAAAACAATCATTATATTCTTCTTCCGATGCATCGGAAACGGTGATACCAAATGTGTTCCTATTGACAGACTACCCTCATTTGCTCACGACATCCAAGGCCCAGCCGGAATCAATGTCCTTTAAACTTTATCAGCTTGCACCCGAACACCACCAGGCGGTCAAGTATGTCTATGAGCGACTCAATGTAACCCTGACGACTCTGGACCAAGGGCCGGATTCGATTCCTTACGATGAGCTTCCAGCCCAGAACTGGAACATCCTGCCGATCCCGCCGTACGCCGATCCAGTCGACACAAGTATCCTGGGAATCATTGACAAGTTGATTGCCATGCGTGCCCAGTGGTTCCTGGCAGGAGAGCCGGGTGTCTGTGGCAAACCGAGCAGCTTCACGCGTCGGATTGTGATTGAGCGCCAGATGCTTTATGATGCAGGAGACAGGAAGATAATCTTACCAGAAGCTACATTCGATCTTCCCGATACGGAAGAAGATTGAAAACAAAAATAATAATAATAATTATGACGACGACGTGTGGTGGTTGAAAATGAAGAACAAGAAGAAGAAGATCATCTACTCCTTTACACAACAACAACAACAACAACAACAACAACAGTAATACCAAATGATATATATATATATATACAAATATAGAGGGGCATTTATTTATTTATAATTATATGTATTCAATCTTGATACAAAGAAACAAAAAGACAAAAAGACACCCTATTTATTCCCTTTACATCTTATTATCTTGCTTGCTATTGCTTCTGTTGTTGTATTAGTAAAATATGATTATATTGTAACAAACGTAATAGTAACAACAACAATAATAATAAAAAGTTATACACATACTAACAATCAAATACTATTATCTAATGTATTTGTATTAATAATCCAAAGAGATGTTTCAAGTAGTCCATAGTAGGTACACAAAAGAAAGACAAGAGATGTAAAGCTTAGGTTTATTTGGTGTCAGTGTAGTTGCACTTGTACCTGTATATAAGATTTGTATTAGGAATTATCGATTGAAATCTGACAATATTCGATTTGAGCGCGGAGAATGTTCCGCGATAAGGGTTATAATGCTATTATTGATTATCTATTGTATGTAGGCTATACGTGATATTCGCGTGCGTACGTACGTACGTACGTACGTACGTACGTACGTAAGTATACTGCTATATGCACAGTGTATGAATATGGTAATAGTAATAAAAGCAGGGTAAATGTTCCGGATAAACAGTAACCGAGAGACATCTATTTGTACTATAAAGTACCGATACTGATATCAATAGCTTACTGACTGATAGTAATAGTAATAGTAATATTAATGAGTCTGTTAATCAGATAACCCCATTTTCTCTTTTTTTTCTTTTATATATATATATAATATATATAATACCATTCTATAATCTTTAGCTTTAATAATCATTGCACAGACTCTAGGCGTCTTCTTATAGCCGTTTTTATACTTATCTATTCATATATTTTACATTTGATTTGATTTGATTTGCTTTGATTGTTACTCATAGTAATGGCAGAAACCTTGTCTAGTATCGCGTCATTGGGTGTTAGGTTTTACAGTGGCTTGTACAAAGTATATGGTTTTGGATTACACTGTGCCTGGCGGAGAAAACATATATAAAAAAAAACAAAAAATCTATTATCATTATATAATACAATATAAATCTACAAAGGCAAACAAAAAGGGAGAGAATTAGACAAAGTCAGTGTGGAAGATGTAGGCATTTAATTTTATTTTATTTTATTTTATTTTATTTTATTATATCGGAGTACCTTTATTTTTTTCATTTTTTTTCTTTGTCAATTATATATAAAAGCTTCTTTTTTTTTTTTTTTTTTTTTTTTAAATTCACATTTCATTTCTACTCCAAAAATCATAATTACTCTCTGGTTCTTTCAATTATACACACTATACTATACACTGTACATAAGCAGACACTCGGACACTCGGGCACACACACACACACACTACAGACAGACACTATACAGTCAGCCAGTCAGACACTAGACTATATTACTTACAGACCCCAATTCCAATAAGCCAGTAACAACACAACACAACACAACACAACACAATAATGATACTCTCAACTATCGTCGATAGTGCAGCAAAGGTGCTGCTGGAAGAAGCCCAGGCACTGATGGCTGCTGCTGCCCGCCTGCAATCAAACACAACGACCCGCGACGGCTACGAACAGGCCATCATCCACCTGTTTCGGGCCATCGACAGAGGCGGCAAGGTAGTTGTGACGGGTGTGGGCAAGTCTGGTAAGATTGGTGAGAAAATGGTGGCCACTATGCTCTCGACCGGAACACCTGCAGCGTTTTTACATCCGGTCGAGGCTCTGCACGGCGATCTCGGCGTAGTCCACCCAAACGACTGTGTCCTGGCCCTGTCATACTCTGGAAACACCGAGGAATTGCTGATGCTTGTGCCGAGTCTGAAGCGACGCCAGGTTCCTGTGGTAGGGCTTGGGGGTAATCCAAAGAGCAAGCTGGCCAAAGAGTGTGTAGCCTGGATTGATGGCCACGTCACACATGAGGCCGGCGGAGACGACTTGCCCGCACCAACAACATCGACCACTCTTGCGCTGGCGCTTGGAGATGCGGTTGCACTGTCATTGGCTGGGCTGAGATCTTTTGGAACCGACGCATTCGCACTCAACCACCCCGGAGGATCGCTTGGACGCCGTCTGCTGCTCAAGGTCGAAGATGCAATGCACGTCGCCGACAAGGTGGCCTGTGTGTCGGTCGATGCACCTCTGGACATTGTGATTATGCAGATGACGCGACACCCAAAAGGCTGTGGTGTGATTGTATTAGAAAACGACATCAAAAACTCATGTCTATCCAACAACAAACCGATTGGCCCGAGTGTAGATAATGCGGACGTTTTGGACTCTCTGTTGCCTTCACCACCATCATCATCTGTGGCATCGTCTGTGGCATCATCTGTGACCGAGGATGAGGCTGTGTGTGAGGTACCGCCAGCCCGTGTAAATGTGCTTGGTGTCATAACCCACGATGATATCCACCGCATTCTGCGAGCACGGGTAGGGATCTTTGACATCAAGGCCGTCGATATCATGACCCGATCTCCGGTTGTGTGCGGTGCTGATACTCTTGCGTCTGAAGCCATGCGGGTCATGGTTGAGCATCCAGATTATGAGCTTCCTCTCTTACCTGTTGTTGATCGAGAGCATGGGTTCAGAGGAGTTGTCACTCTAAAGGATCTTCAGGAACTCTTTTAATTTTAATTTTTTTTTTTTTTGCTTTTTATTTTATTTTCTTACTTATTTATTTATTTATTAATTAATTTTCTTTACTTTACATAGTCTTTACATCCCTACTCTTTATCTACCTATCTACCTATCTACCTATCTACCTATCTACCCTTCTACCCTTCTACCCTTACCTATCTATCTATTTATCTGCTTATCACTCTACCTACTTTTACCTATCAAACTGTCTAACTGTCTACATATCTCTCTGTCGAACGTACTGTTTACCTATATATCTATTATTTTATCACTTTGCCTTTTCTTCTACAATTCATTCAATTTTGTTGAGTATTAAGGATCAAAAATAAAAATAAAAATTAAAAATATTTCACAAACACAAATATATATAAAATTGTATTTTTTATTTTTGGTGCGTGTTCCTCGTGGAAGGGAGAAAGATGTAAGATAAAGCAAAAGCAAAAGCAAAAGGGGAGAGGGAGGGGGGTTATTGGTGGTACTAGGTAAAGCAAGTAGGCAAGTAGGCAAGTAGGCAACCAAACTTTAGTCATAAAATGTGTATTATATAATAAGGAGAGATATATACATCATACATAAATGTACAAAGGTCTTGTTTCTTTGTTTCCTTTTTTTGAACGGCACATTAACGCACTATGGAACAAAAAGGAAACTATAGGGATCTTATTTCTTTGCTGCAATAAAAAAAAAACAATTCAACTCCGCCAAACTCGTGGGTTATGGATTAATTGTGATTTTTGGAATACCTTTCTATGAATCATAAAGGAGTATGATGTAGTATAGAAGGGGAATAAAGACTATCTGCTTAGTAAAAGGGAGCCATTTAATAGCCACAATACCAATAGTCTACAGCTAATGGTTGCCAGAGGAATTGGTTCTTTGAGTGCCAAATATTGTATACATGTAAGATTTAAAGAGAGGGCTGTAAAGAGTGTGGAGTAGGTGTGTAGTTTGTACAAATCTGTATACAAAATGTGAGGGAAAATATATATATACATAACACATTAACTACATTCACTACGCACATTTTTTTTATATATATATTTTTTTCTATATTTTTAGTTTATGTTTCTATATAAATAATAAAAATAATACAGTTTAATTTTTTATTTATTTATTTTATTTTTCTCTCCCCTTCTTTCTTTCTTTCTTTCTTTCTTTCTTCTTTTACCTCTCAAAATATCCAAGGACTTCTTTAAAGTCTTTCAAACATATCAAAAGACATACACACATTTAATACCCAATTCAAATATAAATTCTAAGAACAATGAGAGAAATTATTCACGTACAAGCAGGTATGATTTTATATGACAAATGAATATTTTATATATTTTATAATATAAAAATAAAGAAGTTGGACAAAAAAAAATCATACCCTTTTCTCTCTCTCTGTGTGTCAAAAACGAATACATTATATTCAACTTCATCTCCATCATCTCTGACCTTCTTTCTTTCATCTTGAATATTCCAACTCCAAAGGTCAATGCGGTAACCAGGCAAGTATAATTATAATTATAATTATATAATTATATAATTATATAAATATACTAATCCTTGTCAAAATAAACAGATTGGTCAACAATTCTGGGAAACCATTTCACAGGAACACGGTATTGATACCACTGGTGCTTATGCTGGTGACAACGATCTCCAATTGGAACGTATCAATGTTTACTATAACGAAGGATCTGCTGGCAAATATGTCCCAAGGTTAGTTGGCTAATTAGTTGGATATTTTATACATTATATTGATCATACATATTATTTCTTTCTTTGTTTATAATCAGAGCTGTATTGGTCGATCTTGAGCCTGCTACCATGGATGCTATTAGAAGCAGCCCATACGGTAAACTCTACCGCCCCGACAACTTTGTCAACGGACAGTCTGGTGCCGGTAACTCCTGGGCCAGAGGTTACTATACCGAGGGTGCTGAACTCATCGAAGGTGTTCTGGACATCATCCGCAAGGAAGCCGAGCACACCGACTGCCTCCAGGGTTTCCAGCTCTGCCATTCGCTCGGTGGTGGTACCGGATCCGGTCTTGGTTCTCTCTTGCTATCCAAGATCCGCGAAGAGTACCCCGATCGTATGTTGTGCACTTACTCTGTCGTACCCTCGCCAAAGGTCTCTGATACCGTTGTCGAACCCTACAACGCCGTCCTGTCTGTTCACCAGCTGGTCGAGAACTGCGACGCCACCTTCTGTATCGACAACGAAGCCCTTTATGACATCTGCTTCCGCACCCTCAAGCTGACCAACCCTGGCTACGGCGAACTCAACCAGCTCGTGTCTGCCGTCATGTCCGGTGTCTCGACCAGTCTGCGTTTCCCCGGTCAGCTCAACTCTGATCTGCGCAAGCTGTTTGTCAACATGGTCCCCTTCCCCCGTCTGCACTTCTTTATGGTCGGCTTTGCACCCTTGACTGCCTTTGGCTCGCAGCAGTACCGCAACCTCAGCGTGCCCGAACTGACGGCCCAGATGTTCGATGCCCGCAACATGATGGCTGCATCCGACCCTCGTCACGGTCGCTACTTGACTGTCGCCACCATCTTCCGCGGCCGCTTGTCGACCAAGGAAGTCGAGAACCAGATGTTGGCTGTCCAGCAGAAGAACTCGTCCTATTTTGTTGAATGGATCCCCAACAGTGTCAAGACCTCCCTGTGCGACATCCCTCCCGTTGGCCTCAAGATGTCTGGCACTTTCATCGGCAACAGCACTGCAATCCAGGAGCTCTTCAAGCGTGTTAACGACCAGTTCAGCGTCATGTTCAGACGCAAGGCATTCATGCACTGGTACACTTCCGAGGGTATGGACGAGATGGAATTCACTGAAGCCGAGTCCAACATGAACGATTTGGTGTCCGAGTACCAGCAGTACCAGGAAGCCACTGCCGATGAGGAGTATCTCGAAGAAGAAGACTACCTTGAGGAGGATGAAGTTCTTGAGGAGTAATGGAAAAAAAAAGAAATATTTAGAAGATGGAAATAGAAATATTCCCCCCCTTTTTCTTTCTTTCTTGCTTTCTTGCTTTATCTCTCTCTCTCTTCCTCCTTCTTCTTCTTCTACTACTACTACTACTTCTTTGAATTTTTTTTTCCTTTTCTTTATCTTTAAACCTTCAACCCACTTTATATACACAAGCTCTCAATTCTTACAAATTATGCACTACAAATTACACCTATACACACACAAAATATTCAATTAGGTTTTTTTTTTCTTCTTTTTATTTCCTTTTTTTTTTATATACAAATATCAAATACAATTTTTTTTAACAAAAATTAACCATCTTATTAACATTAATATTAATATTATTATTGATGAAAAGAAGATTAGCTTGGAATTGTGTAAAGCAGAATCGTTTCGATAGGCTGGCACAAATAAAATAAAGACAATTCGCTTTATTGGAACCTCTTGGGTCTTATATTTGCAATAAGAATCAAAAGCCAATAAAGAAAAATAATTATCGCAAAGGAAGGAAAAAAGGAAAAGCCTGAAAACTTCTTCCTTTTCTTTAAAAAAAAAAAAAAAAACAATGAAAATATCTAAACCCCCCTTCAAAATATTGGCCAAACAAAATCATTGGGTTTGGGCAATGTTTGACGTCTTTATTACAAAGGTTCCATAACAACACTAGAAGTTTTTACAGTGAGCTTGGGATAGTTTGCCGCCAAAGCGTCTTCTAACGAGCGCCGGATGGCTGAAAGGTTGGTTGATCGATCTAGAGGTTAATAAAGCTTCATTCTTTATGAAAGCTTGCGTTGGCTCCAATCTCACGCTTTGTATTCACATTCAAACATGGCGTACGATTTTGTTTATAAGAAACATAGGGGTTGGTTCAATACCAACAGTTGCACACGATTTTTTTGGAGGACGCTGGTAATCACGCTCGATTCGATGATTACACTCGTAAGATTTCTGATAGATGTCGAACAGAAGATAATCTGGATGCTTATGAGCAGCAGTAATTGAAGTAAAAATACAAGGCCAAAACCCGTATGACATCAATCATAGGATATAACCAAACTTTCTAATACTTGTTTAGACTAAGTATGTCCTGAATTATTCATAGAGTATACCAAGGGTTCAAACCGTAGTAGATATTTGACTTTAAGCACTCCCGACTTATTTATCTTCACTGTGATTATTAATCACACTGGAATGCAACTTTGATCGAGTTGAAGCCAAAAACAAAAAGACGTCTTCTGAGCTACACTGCTTGACAAAATTTCTACGCAAAATACAAGTTAAAAGACTTTGTAAATTGATATATAGATAATAGGAAGTTTTGTTTTTCTATTCTTTTCTGCTTTTAATCATTTTAAAGGGGTGCGGGTGAAGATCGTAAGACAGAGGAGAAGGCATTACACCAGTTTAATATAATTTGATATAGGATGGAGACTACTGAGCTATCCCCTTTACTTAATTTAATTTATCTTATTCTGATTACCAACAATTGGGTTGATTTTTACCTAAAGCTGTATTAATTAAGAAAGAAACAAAGAACACTAGAGATAACTTCTGTGTTGACTAATGAAAGTGTTATTCTAAAGAGCTATAAACATTCTAATAGTCAAGACATATCTTGGGAGATTATATGTTTGTTTAAAAGTGTCAGAAATGCCTGTTATCTTTTTCACCCCTTGATTAATTTTTACCAGCATATTATCTGACTGACGTCTATAAAAGAGCATTGGATTAAATACAAATGAAAATATCAAATGAGCTCTCAACTTAGTAAGCATACTTTATTTATCTTTGCACTCAAAAAAAAAATTTTAAATATCCTATCCTATCCTAGTCTACAAACATATTAAACACTGGAGCAAAGGCAGTGTGGATGGTGGTCCAAGTTCCGAAAGAATTGTCGTCAATTGGTTGTCCAACCAAGTCAACTACGATTGATGGGAAGGAAACGATCATAATGGTGCCACCAAGATTGCTCTTTGTTCAGAAATCAGGCGCATCCTTATGGCAAACCGTATTCTCCACCGCTCAATCCAAGACATTCGGGGAAGAATATCCTACTTTCATAAAAAGTACATCAAAGTAATCAACTGACTTTACCAAACTGGACAAGGGCTCAAACATACCTTGGGACAACAAGGTCGGTCTCAACCTGAGATTAGTACCATTATTACAGGTACGAATTATATATGATTCATATATTTAGCTTCTAAATAATTCATTCTTTTTTCTCTAGAGAAAACAAAAGTCATATTTGTCTACTTTGATGAGTTTTATCTGACAATTGGTCAACGACCATCAATTGTATGGTGCGATCGGAGATAACTATCTAAGTTTTTGGGTATTTTTTAAAAGTTTATAACTTTTGCAAAACTTAAGTTAATATAATTCTGAACTCTTAATTCGATAGATATGATCATTATCTATAGAATTAAGAGTTTACAATTGCTCTAACTACTCTGAATAAAAAGTCTTAGACTTTCAAAGTTGGGATGTATTGGCCTATTTACAACGGAGTTTACCCGGTTTTTACGATATTGAAACAAGTTAAATGGCTGTCACTGACGGACATTAAAAATAATTTCTTAAAAAGGCAAATCACGTGCGTGTGACTTTGACTTTTATTGCGTACCTTTTATTATTTTGGTCTTCCTCAAGTGTTACTACTCAAGCTTAACACACTTATATTTAAAACACTCTAAAATGCCTCGTCCAAAAAAGAGATCAACAATGGCAAAGAAAATAAACAGATCGGCTAGTAGTGGAGCTTTTATTAAAAAAATACAATTAGAAAATGAAGATTATGTGGACTTGGAGTTTGACCATGAAGACGATATTGTTTTGGATGACAGAGCGCTCCAGGGAATGTCAGAAGAAGTTACTTCAGCTGCATATACAAACCAGCTGCTGAAATGGCATGAATGTGCTGATAAGTCGCTTCGTAGAACTTATCAGAAAAATTCGCGAACAACTGAATGGAGAAAAAGAAAAGCAGATAATGATGCTTCAAATACGCAAGGAAGCTACCGTCTTACAGATAAAGGCTTCTTTATTAAAGTTCAAAAAGAGGCTCCAATTGAATTAAAAGAATCTATTGATAGTGAATTGGAGAACATACAGATTGACAAAATTGCTGTGCTTAAACTTGCACATGAAGATGTTAAGAAAGAGATTTTCCCTTATACTCGCGCAGGTCCTTCTTCTCAGTCAGTTGATGCTTTTGAACTCTGTAAGCTTAAATCAGTTGAATGCTACCTTCGATACAGAATATCAGGCGCCAAAACTATGGAAGCTTCAGAGAAAGCATCGATGGAAACATGGCTTCACAAAAACACTTATCGTCCAGCTGCTATAAGAAAGTATGCCAAAGAGTATGTTGATTTCCGTTCAATTGCCTTACATCAACAAGGAAAGCATTTGAGAAGACATTCTTTATTTTCGGATGAATATATAAAGTCTACTATCTGTAAATGGATTCAAAACCAGAGACCAGAAAGTCGAAGTCTTATCGAAGTGAAGAAGTACATTGATGGAGAGATTTTGCCAAGAAAGCTTGGTATGCCTGGAAATACTTCCACAAATACAATCTGGAAGTACCTTCATGAATGGGGTTATGTGTTTAGAAAGAACTCTAAAGACATTTATTACGATGGTCATGAAAGAGAGGATGTGATTGCATACCGTCAGAAATGGGCAAAAAGAATGATGGTGTACAAGAAGAAAATGGCAACTTTTTCTGAAAATGAAGAAACTGTAGTTTTGCCAGTACTTAGATCCGATGAAATAGAGCATGTTCTTGTTACTCCCGATGAATCGACATTCTACGCAAACGATGGGAAAGATACCATGTGGCTAATGGAAGATGAAAATCCTATTCGTAAGAAAGGTCCAGGAATGTCTCTCATGATCAGTGAGTTCAAGTGCGTATGCCACGGAACAATGGCTAGAGGGGCATGGTCGTCACGAGAGGTATTCCGCCCTGGGGCAGACAGAGATGGGTACTGGACGAGTGTGGATATGTTGAAGCAATTGAAAAACAATGTTATTCCTCTTTTTGAATTGATTCACCCAGGGTGCAAGGCCGTCTTTTCATTTGACCAAAGCACAAATCACAAAGAGTATGGTCAAAATGCTTTGATCTCAAGCAAAATGAATCTAAATGACAAAGAGATTGAAGACGACGATCCTTGTTCTTTGCAGGATACAGTATTTGTCCGGAATGGTGTAGAGGAAGTACAATCAATGTACTACAAGAAGGACGAATGGTTTGCAAAGAAAAGCGGACAATGGGTCCAAAATAAGGTCAAATATGTTAAAGGCGTCCGTCATATTCTGAAGGAGCGTGGTTTGTGGCTTGAGAAGGATCCGTATAATCCTATTAAGAAATGGCGACTAGACTGTAAGAGTAAAGACGCCTCTGAAGATAGCAAGTGCTGTGCACATCATTTTCTGGCTTCACAACCAGATTTTATGTCACAGAAAACTGCTCTTCATGAGGCTGTCGAAGACTCTGGTCATATATTTGAACTTTACCCTAAGTTCCATTGCAAATGCAATTGGATTGAGAGGTATTGGGGTGCCGCAAAGCGTGAAGCTCACCTCCAGTGTGACTATACGTATAAGTCCCTGGATAAGAATATCCATACTTTCCTGGATCACGCTGGTAAGCTTCCAAATATCCGCCAGTATTACAACCGCTCGTAGCACTACATTGAGGCATACAGCCAAGAGATGAATGTGAAAGAAGCCAATGATGTTGTAAAAAAATTTACAAAAAAAAAATATACTTCTCATCGCCGTGATGAAGGAAGAGAATAGAATTTTTATCTGTACTTTCTTTATTTTTTATTATTTTTGCTTATAAATTATCCTTATCTCTAATTATTATTTTATTAAATATATTAATTCTACTTTTGTGCTTATTCTTTACATTTTGAGTGCTAAATATCATTGAATTTTGATTGTTTTTAAAGGTTGTCGGACATTAAATCATAATTGGCTGGCGGAGTTTTCCAGGAGAAAATTGAAACAAATCCAAAGAGATGGATACTTATCTCTGATTGCACCATACCAAAAGTTCTGCGATTCCAGGAGGGGTGGGTTCAAAGGGAGGAAGAATGACAGTCCCGAGTCTGCAGCACATGGAGAACTTGATGTTGTTTGCCTTGGACGTGTAGTTTTTCCCATGAATCCACATTAGAGCTCCACAGAATTGGCATTTTACATCCATGGCACCTCTGTTGTCAGTTGGAGGTAATGGGGTGGTAGTACGCCGGGCCATGTTATGAGTGACAGCTAACTGGCCAGGGACAAAAGTGTGGTGCCGTATGTTGTTAGGACACTGCAAGCTGTTACTCCGTAGGCGGCCAATTCCATTACAGCTGAAACAGTGGGAAATAACAGTGGCAGTGGTAATGGCAGTGGTGGTTGTCAAATCCAAGACTCTCTCAACAGCAGAAACTTGCAAAGCCTCAAAAGCAGCAGTTAGATCTATGATAAAAATATTAAAGAATAATTAATAATTGTGGCAATTGATATATAATTTTAAAAATTACCTCTGCTGCTCTCTGCAATATATTGTTCTGTGAAGGAGAGGTCAATTGACATTGGTTGTGTCGGTACAACAGAATCCTGGACAGCCTCAACTCTTGGTCTTGAAGCAGCAGCTAAATAGAGAAATATATAGAGTAGAAACAATTATTAGAATTTTTGCTGAATATTAATCAATTTTGCTCCATTTATTTACCTCGGCTACTCTCTGCAGGATATTGGTCAGCACGGAAGAGAGCAATGATTTCTGCTATGGTAAGAACCACAGAATTCTGAACAGTTTCCACCCTTGGTCTCGAAGCACCAGCTAAATAATCATATAAATGCAGATGATAGCAAATAAGTTAGAAACTATGCAAGTCGATCCAATGGATTAAAATAATCTGTTTTAATGTTACCTCTACTACTCTCTGTCTGATATTCTTCTTGGGTAGAGAGATTATTGCTGGTTCTCTTTCGGGTGATCAAAAGAGTCTTGTTTCTTGGGTTCAAAGGGCAGAATAAATTTGACCTCCTGCTGTGACCCAATTGTTTACATGAAGCACAAACTGGTCCAGCAGAAGTCATATTGATATTTGATAAATTGTAATTGGTTTTGCAATTAAGGTGGGGATAGAGAAATAGTAAAGAGTATATGTAAGATTATTATTTTTCTGAAAGACATGAACTTTACAGACACCCTATATATACTCTTTTTCAAAATAATAATTATACCAATAATGACAGACTTGTCATAATTTAAAATAGATTTGAATCATATGTAAATCAACAACGTACTGAAGTAATATGATAATTAGAATAAATTCAAGAGAATATCTTCTTCAAGTAATATTGAATAATAGAGTAAAATCCATGTGTCAAGACGCAGTAAGATGACTTCTTCAAGTAATAGTAGCTAAATTAAGTAGAGTATAGCTGTAAAAGTTCATTAGAATGTCTTGTTAAAGTAATAAAAGTAAGGTGACAAAAGGAACAGTCAGTTGTCAAAGTAGTGTGAGTTAACCTTTTGGAATTAACATGTGTATCAAGTTACAAATGCTGCAAAAAGTGTACGGTTCAATATAGCTTCTTGGAGTAACAGTATATATAAATTCTTGAATATCCAATTGTCAATGCACAATCATATGTTTCATTTTATTTTATCAGTTATTATTATAAAATGTAATATATAATATTGATGATCTTTGCTTTTAAATTAAAAAGTAGTAATAGCCGACATGTTTTTCTTTTTTTTGTTGTAAATTAATTCAAATCCAGATATCAGGACACAGCACAATTGTAACATACAAATAAATCATTATTTTTATTTTTATTTTTATTTATTATTTATATTGAATAGCTTTTGGTAATAGCTAAAATGATATATACATATATTCTCTTTATTCTTTAGATCGATATATTTTTATTACGATTACAATACAATTAAAAATGATCTGATTTTTATTTATTTATATATAATTTATAAGTATAATAATAATAATAGTTGGTAGTAATAAGAAAAAAAATATAATTTTTAAAGATGTTCAAAGCAAACAGTGATTTAATAGTAAAGACATTTTGTTATATGGACATGATTTATATTAAAATAGAAATTTATCAATAATTAAGATATTGAATGCAATCGAAAGATGATTAGATTCTATATAACTCACGTGCAGAGTATCTCTCTTTCTTTTTAATGGTTTGAACATAAGTCATGTGATTTATAACTTTCTTTCTTTTTAACTTTTTGAACGTAAGTCACGTGCAGAGTATCTGTCTATCTTTTTAATGGTTTGAACATAAGTCATGTGATTTATAACTTCCTTTCTTTTTAACTGTTTGAACGTAAGTCATGTGATTTAGTAACTTCCTATGTTCTTAGTGATTTAAAAGTGCGAACATAAGTCACATGCAGAGATATTGTCAGGAGTGGATTGGAATTAACACTCAGTTCCAATCCTCTCCAATCAGGAGCAACTACTCCAACCGCAGTAGTTGGGTGAGCAATGCCAAGAAAAAGAAGACAACCATTGCTCAGCAAGAAACTGCAGTAAACACACTTAGCATATAATATTGAAGACTGCGGCATCTCTTACATTAGTATAAATATCATGAACATTATCACAAATAAAGATTATCTTTATCTTCATATTTGATTCCATCTTATTATCTTATTGTGTGACTTCTTGCACATTACAATATCTCTCTAGGATATTATATAATTTGATAAGAAAACAGACATCACATTATATACTCATATCATTATCCTAAATACACACACCATGTTTATATAAACTCACATAGCAAATAGCAATAGAAGATTATCTCTCTTTTCATCAATAAACAAAGTCTCACCATACTTCTCGTCTGCACTTTGTTTCTCTTTCTTTTTTAAAAAATATAATATTTTTTATAGTGAACTCATTTTCTTTTACACCCTAACAAAAACACCACCATGTCTTCCAAACACCTCAATTGCGAATCTCTGGTTTTATCTGCTCAGACTGACTTGAGCAGAATGGATGCTTCTGCCAACACCCAAGCTGACACTTCTTTGGAAACCATTGGTCGCATCTGCAACGTTCTGGCTACCTGCTCCACTGCCCTTGCTGATGCCATTGAGCAGAATCTCTCTGAGGAAAGGAAGAATCAAATCAGGCAAACCATTACAACAATAGAAGGTGACTTGACTATTCTTATCTCTGCGCATGGTCACCTACTGCATTCCAGCCTATCTCCTGCTGAGCAAGAAACCCATCAATCCTGTGTTGTGCCCAGAGAAATGCCCATCTTCCAGTGGCAAGGAAACGAGTGGGACACCACTCAGAAAGTGTACTCTTCTATCGAAGAATGTTTTGAAAAATTGGAGGATGTACTCCATTCGTGCAGTCTAAATCTCAATATGGACTGACATCACCTCCTGCCCATTGTTCTATCAAGAGAGCAACGATCCTGGTATGACAACTATCTTTGTAGTTCCCCTGAGCTCCACTGGTCTTTTGCACGTGATGCATTTATCTGTGTCTATGGCATCAACGATCTGGAACGTCAGGTACAACTCACACATGAGCTGATGCTCATGAGAATGAGAGCCACAGAGTCCGTAAGCAATTACACGGACAGATACTAACGTGTCAGACAAGAGGCCAAGGTGGCTGACAACATGCAAGCCGCTATAGCTTATACTGCCACCCTCCTGCCAGAGCTGGCCTGCCAAGTCTCACTCCTGCAAGTAAACATGCCCAGAGAAAAATGGGACACTATTGAAAAGGCGGCCTCTCTGGCCAGGTCAATCTACAACACAGTATTCTCTGCCACTCTACACAATGACTCTGCTCCTAGGACACGCACACTTGGTTAAGCACAGGTGCCACACACACCTACTCGCCCTTCTTCTGCTTGCTCTTCTAGTTTTTTCCGCGAAATCACACAGAGCTGTGAACGCTCCTCAAGCAAGAAGTGTTCACTTCATGGTAAGGGCAATCATGACACTGAGGATTGCTGCATTCTCAAGACGGCCCTGGCAACCAAGGGAGGTAATTGGGTGGAGAAAACACCCCACATCAACAAATACGTTGGTTCTACCCCTTGTTGCTGGTGTGGTGAAGTTTGGTCTTGCAAACATTGCTGTACTTCTGTCTCTGGCTCCTCCAGTTTTTTGGGTTCTGTGTCTGGCTCTTCTCAGAGATCTGCCCCCCACTTTGCTGTCCATTCTGTATACGCTGTCACTAACAACAGCACTTTCTTGGAGGCCAGCTCCTCTGAAGACGACCAGTCCATGGTCATGAACTTTGAACAGTGCTCCCCATGTAAGTATATGGGCACTTATGTAAATCTCAGTAAATGATCTACTCACTCCTATCTCATTCCTATTTCTTTAGAAGAGGAAAAACTATGGGCACTGATAGACACTGGGGCTACCATCAGCTCTGTCAACATCAAACTCTGTAGCAAATTTGAGTGGTTGATAATTCCTTGCAAACGAAAAATTGTGTTGGCCACTTGTAATGCCATAGCTCATAGACTAGGAGTAACAAAACCAATAAAAGTTTTTTATAATAACAAACACATTACACATTTTTTTTGAAGTTTTGGATCTCGCTGGGAATATAGATGTTAGTATTGCTACATATTTAATGCTAAGTCTTAGTATTCATTTACTAGGACTAGCAGAGAGTTGGTACAGCTCTACTATGGCAAATAGGGGCGGTTTTTTGCATTTGTGACTTTGTTTTTGGCCTATAATAGTTAAAAAAGAGCCAAAAATTCAAAATAAAACAAGAAAATCTCTGTTTTTTGAAAAGGTTGACAAAAAGCAGATTGACTACCTAAAATTAAATCTCCTGATAGACAAAAGTACATTTTAACTACAGATTTTACATTTTTAGTAAATGTAGATTGCAATTGATGACTATTAAAAGTCAGAGGTAAAAGAAAGAAAAATATCTAAACTTTTTGCTGAGAGGATAAAATATGTTAAGACAATTTGAAAAAAAAAATATATTACAAGAAAAAAAAACAAATTATAGGTCTGTAAGAGAATCAAGTAACAGTTTTAGGCCGCAGTTAAGCTCTGGCCACACTACATATGTTGTTGCTGTTGTTGTTATTGTGTTTATAGTTGCATCCAACTTCACCAAACCAACTAATTCTTTGACATCTGCCAGGTGAACTACCTTTAGCTTCATTTGCATATTGTTAACAACTGATATATCATTTACCAAACGGACTGCTGCAATCTCTACAAAAGCAAGTGGCCACCTCTTGTTGTTGAGCTTGTGCTCAAAAAAGACAAAAACTTTCCCAAAGAAATCCTTGTAAACTGGGGAGTATGCAGAATGTATGTTGTGGTTCTTATCAAACTGAATCTGTAATCTGATGTTATGTGCCTCCCTTACATAATTTTGGTCAAGTGCAGAGTTAATTACACAACCATTAAAAAATGTCTTGCAGTTAGTTTGCATAGCTGCTTCAATCATATTACACTCTTCCGCCTTTGATCCGTAGAAGTCTTCAAGTTTCAAAAGACAAGAAATGCCTTCAAAACTATCTCAGATCGTTCTATTCCTCAAAGGCCCTCAGAACTTAATATCAGACTCAGTACCAACATGCTCACCCTCATCTGTTAACAGCCAACCAGCAGTGGAATCTTCATATTATAAGTCTTGTGCTGTTCTTGCTTCTGTAATCATAACAATGGCTCCGGCCTCTGCTTGTTGTATTTGTGCTAAGCCAAGCATGATATTGCCAGTGTTAACATTTATAGCAGAATTACTCTTGATAGCCCTTGAGTATTCATCAATTGCCTGTTCCACAAATCTGGCACTATATGTACGAGGTGGACTGTATACATCAATTATGAGAGAATAGTGCTGAAGAAGATGTTGGTTTATAGTGAAAATATTGATTTTGATTTTTCCACTTGTAAGCAGCAATTTCAGATATGTGTTCTATATTTCAAGTTTACTGAAAAAAAATAGTTAGAATAAATAATAGAAGAACATATAGCTTTTACTAAAATATACCTTTTGATAGAGATTTGTTTCTCTGCTGATAACTCCCAGCTTATGAGTAGGTTACATGCTTGAACCAAGCCAAGTAAAATGTTCTAGGCAGTTGCATCTCCAATATGCTTTGCCATCAGCATAGAGACAACAAACAGAAGAAAGTCTGCTCAATCGATGGCCTTGAACAACGCAGAGTTCTTTTATACATCTCTCTAATTGCCATGGAAGGATGTAGGGATGATATCTCTTGTTTTGTACATTGCTGTACCAATCTCCTTCTGAACACCAGAAGAAAGAGCAAAACAATGGTCTGTTGTGTAGGTATCAGAAACCAAACCTCAGATCTGCTTGCTTATTCCATGGCAAAGTCCATGCATCTCATTGAGGGCAAAAAACAATGGTTCAGAGAATACCTTCAATGTTGCCAGGGGGGATTGTCTATTTAACTCTTTGTGGCTGTATGCACTGGCCTGAGAAAACTTCTGGAAACTTTCTAGTGTACAGATATTGGTGCTAGACAAAGTTCTGAGGTATTTTCCATGCTTGGGACATTGGCTAACAACATGACAGATATGGCAACCGTCTTTGCTCATATGTCTAGAATGACATGCTAACTTTGCTTAGATGGGAATGTCACCAGTGACTATCAAGACATGTACCTTGGCACGAATGGTCTCGTTTGGTGTCTTAACAACCATCTCTTTGCTCTTTAACACCAGGAGCTCTTTTACCATTGGTTTCATAAACGACCAGGAATTGGCAGGTGCACCTGGATCTGAAATCATTGCAATCTGAAGCATTCTGCTTCTCTCATACCAGGCCATGGGATTCAGGTTAAGAATAGTAGCATGGAGAATTGTTACAGAATCAGAAACATTGTGTGACATGAATCCATCAATAGACAATGAAATTGCGATGTCATCTTTTCCAGAAAACAGATGTTTGGCTTGCTGGTAAACCTGATCATCAAACATATTGGTTTTACTTCCATCCAAGCTTAACTCATGATTATGGTGATAATGCATATCTACTTTTATATTCTTGTTGGCTGATGCAAGAGCCAGTTGTTTTGCCAATAGAAGCTGTAGCATTATGGCAGCAGAAACCAGATCACTTCTCTCAGTTTCTCTACATCTTGTTTTGTACTGACTTTGTCCACAGCTAGAGCACTCACTCTGAGATAGACTGGTAAAAAATATACATCCCCTCTGACAGATATTGTAGACTATCTCTTCAACACCAGAGAAACACTTCAAAAGCTTTTTGCCGAGATGAGGAGTACATGCTTTGTATGTAATGCAAGTTGACATTTCCAAAATACTGTTGAAATGCTTGACTATTATTTCATAGGCATTGTGAGAGATATCAAAATCCTTAATGATCTTGAGAAACTCAAGGTTTTTACATTATCTTTGTCAGGGGCAGGTGCAGGCTGACTGAAGTCAAAAATCAAAGGAGATGTTTTGTTTTCAATGATATCTATGTCATTGCCAAGTTCCGTATCATACTTTAACAAGATAAATAATAATTAGCATGATATAATAAGACATATATATATATATATCTTACCATAGACTCATCATTATTATCATTACTCAAGATATTCATAATTGGATCATCATTATTTTTGCTGTTGAGTGTATCCATGATCTGATCTTCGATTGCATCAGCACCTCTGCTTATTTATAAAGGTAACAATATAATTAATTACACTTTCTAATAGTATGTGTGTGATTTGTAGTCTTATTCGATTGTGTTGTTTGAAACAGTATTCAAAACAACACTGACTTGTTCAGGAACAGACGTGGTCTGTGAAGTCTGGATATTATTATGTCTTTTATGATGGTTCTTAAAGCATTGAGCTCTACAACTCTTAGCTTTATTTTAAGTTGGTGTGACATGCTTTGCATTGATTGCATTAGTAACCATCAATGATTGAATTTGAAGACATTTTTTAGGTTGGAAATAAATACTTAAGAATAAAGGTATGAATATTAATAATTCCTTTTAAATAATATGCCTGCATACTTAATAGTATTGAGATTTGTATAGACTTAATGACTACAAGTAGGCAATGACATAGATGATACAAATATAAACTCAGGAACAGCAACTAAAACATTGCGTAAAAGCTGTTATTAGAACTACAATAGCACAATAATAATATTAGCTGGACTAATAGATTAAACTCATTTATATGAAACTAACAATAGACAATAGAAATTTTTTTTGGCCTTTATCTATCTTTCACAACAATTCTTTTTTTTCAGGTAAACCAAACTCTCAACATGAATAACACAGATAACAATTTCATCTCTTTGCTACACGTCATGTACAATGAGCTACTATCTTTGAAGGTAGGCAAAGAAAATGCCAAACTTGAAATGAAGGTACAGATCAAAAAGTTGAAGCTCAAAATGAAAACAAGCATCAAAGATTTGAATTTGGAGATTACTGCTCTCCAAAACCAACTGGAGAATAGAAACATTCCCAACCAACACACTTTGCCTTCTGTCTCTGTCATTGTAAGACAAAAAATAAAACGAGCTGAATATATATTAATATGTCATTAAATAGTCTAGTGTTAATACCATGTGCAAACTGGTGAGCATATTCCGTGAAATAACTATAAAGCATATCTTCAAGATGACAACTGAAGACCTTGGTATTGAAGTAGCAAGTAACAAAAAGACCATACTCAATATGTGTACAAAGCTTATATGTGATGATATGGCTGCCCATCCTTTGGTGATTACTCTTGGTTCTAACCCTAGCTGGGGGTCTATACCAGTAGCACTTAAGAAAGAAATATGTGCCAGATATGCAAATATAATGAAGGATTCTGATATAGACTTCACTAGATGTCTTAGAAACTGGGAATCAACTGCAAGAGTTGCTCATCTATGGAGAAACTGCCATAAAAGATTACAGTCTCATAAGTAATCCAGTGTAGTAGAATTGAATAGAATATTTTACTATGAAAATCTAGAATATTAAATAGTTTATAGCTAATAAAATGAATCTATAGATTTTTTATACTTTAACAGCCAATAAAATAAATAATAATATTTTTTTTTCTGTCATAATAACTAATAAAATGAATAATATGATTTTTTTTCTGTCACAACAACCAATAAAAATGATTAATAAAAATAATCTTCTGTGATATTTCAGGTACAAAACAATAGAAAAGTAATAAATTTGATAATAGAGACATATAGAAATACTTTGAGACTGTATATAAGTTGTCTTTTATTCATAAATAAAAAGTATCTCTTTTTATAAGAAAACATAATCTGTTCTTGTCATTACGTCTTAGTTTCTTAAGGCTTTCTTTCTTTACTATATTTGGCTATTAGAGTGTATTTACTGCTTAACTAGTGTCAGTGTTACAATTATGATATCAAGTCATAAATCGTACTTCTTTAGCTCTTGACTATTCTTTTCTCTTTTATACTACAGCTTTAAGACTTCCTACTAAATTAGCTCCATATCGCTCTGACACAGTTTACCCAGCAGTATAATACAATTATCTTAACAATCTTTAAGATATTATTTACAGTATTAACTGTAATAATTATTGGCCTTGTTATATTTGCAGAATCTGGGATATAAACTAACTGACTTAGAAATCCGTGACTTAAGTCAAAGTAGTAATCTGAAACAACACCAACAACAAGTAGTTGTTATCCAAGAGCCAATACACTTCCTTAAAACATTGTGAACAATATAACATAAAAATATTTTCTCAAAAGACAGTAACAACATGAACGAATATCAAGGAACAAAAGATAAATTTTTCTAAGTGAAAAAGATATAAAAGAGATAGAAAACATCAAGCTAGAAACAGTATCTTTCAACAGATACAACAATTTCTCAATAAACCATCATACAAAAGTCTCACTTTATTTATCGTCTCCATATCATCTCATATCTCTTCAATCTCAAGTTTATTATAATCAATCCAAAATATTTCATTTTTTAAAGTGAATTCTTTACGAATTTATATTTTATCTATACTTTTCAATCTACACATCCACCTATCTTACACACATACATCCATTCATCAATGTCACTACACATTGAACCGCTCACTTTGGAACCTAGTGAACACATTCCCATCTATGATGACACGATCATGGAAGAACCCAACCAAGATATAAAGAAACAAGCTAAGACCAAGCTAGTACAATTGATTGACAGTGCCAAGATCAAGCTTTGCATGTTAATGGTGCGACTAAACCAAGAGTCCATGAACAACCCAGACAGTCAGGTACTCAAAAGCATTCAAAGGGAAATGGACGTTACCAACGCCTTACTTGACAGTCTCCAACAATACCAACAATGCAACATGTTCCAAGATCCAAAGGTCCCGCCAGATGGTATCTCCATCTCTTTCTGCAATATACCCAAGTTTCAGATCATAGGCAATAATGTACGAAATCCAAAGGAACCAGTCTACGATTTGGTATCCCACTTCCTATCAATGTTTCAAAAAATTCTGACAGCAGGCAAGACCAATATCGATTCAGCATGGAAAATTTGGCTGCCAATGTCTTTTGACCATGATCATGACACATGGTACGAATCGAACTTACAAGGAAAAGACATCTCTTGGAACGATATGAAAGACATAATCACCAAGAAGTTCGACTCTTTCAACAGACAATTGGAAATGGGATCCCTCGTCTTTACAATGACAATGGGACCCAACGAATCGATCCTCAACTATGGAATCAAATTTCAAAAAGCGTGCAGAGAAGGTGGTGTAAAAGAAAACACCAATCTTGCCATGCGTTTCATGAGTAGCTTGACTCCGGAACTTAGTTCCAATGTCAAGTTAGCCTGGTTTGCTCAATATTCAGAAATGTCTCAAATGATTGAGCAGGTACTCCTTCTTGCTAACGGTATATCGACCAGCAAAAAAAAGTAATCTAAACATAACAAATAAAGGAAAGTACTTTTGCACGCAACATAAGTTCAACAATACGCATGCTACTTCCAACTGTCGCATGCTTCAAAAACACAAGCACACAGAGAAAACCTGTAGATATTGCAACAAGCCTTGGCAACACTGCCACACCTGTCAAGAGTATCTCCAAGCCAAAACAAGGACCGTAAATGCCATTGGTACCACACAAAAAAACATCACCTCACCTATCAATCATATAACCCAAACGCTTGAGAACGCCTCATTTGATAAGTTAAATAATAATAAACAGAAGGATGAAATGAATTCATTCTCATTATATACACCTATACTCTTACAGAATGAGCATAAGATACAAGGTCTCGTCGACACAGGGGCTCAGATTTCATGTCTTAGTTTATAATTCTACATCAATACAATAAAGACTTCAATAATAAAAGTTAAAGGACAACTATTGTTTGCCGGGAAAAATCATTCTTCTTTACGTATTGAAAAAAGTATACCATTAAAAGTGACATATGCAAATGGCCATGAATTTTTACATTCCTTTGAACTTATGGAAAAGAATCAAGAAGATAGTTTAATATTAGGACAAGATATATTACCTAAACTTGGTATCACTTTATCTGGAGTAGCTGTAGACTGGAACATTAAAACCAGTACTAGAGAAAATCAAGAAATAGAGGATGATCTTGAATCTAACAATTCACCATACGGTACTAAAGAACAACATGATCAGTTTATGAGCACAATAGCTTGCTACATAGAAGATAATGAAGCAATACCTAAAACTTCATTTTGCACAGTACCGGAGTCAATAGTGGAACTCAAGACTGCTGAAGGTGCAAAAACCTATCAAAGACAGTATCCATTATCATACGCGTTAAGATCTGTAATAGATGAAGCCGTTAACAATTGGTTAAAAGAAGGTACCATTGTAAGAGCACCAGTAAATACAGCCTGAAATAGTCCTCTTACATTAGCTGATAAAAAAGACGTTCGTGGCAACAAAACTGGAAAGAGGCCATGCTTAGACCCACGTCATATTAACAAATTGCTATCAGACAATAAATTCCCATTACCATTAATTAGGGATATCTTTGACACCATCACTGGCTCAAAAATATTTATGACCCTCGACTTGAAAAGTGCGTTCCATCACTTCAAGATCGTAGAAGAAGATCGTCACAAAACAACATTCACATACAATAACCTACAATATATGTTCCAAGGGTGTCCATTCGGACTTAAACCTTTATCATCGAAGTTCCAACATGTGATGTCATTAATATTCAAAGACATGCCATCCGTACAAACATTCATCAATGACATCGTCATTTTTTCAAACAGCTTAGAAGAACATACCAAGCATGTTTGTCAGACCATAGAAACGTTTACTAATGTTAATCTCATCTTGAATCCAAACAAATGTCATTTTGCACAAAAATCCGTGTATTTGCTAGGCTTCTCCGTAGGCAAAAATGGTAGTCAAATTGATAAACAAAAAATCACTAACGTTATGAAGTGGCTCATACCTAAAACAGGTCATGACATTCAAAGTTTCTTAGGAGTCATTAACTATTTCAGGGATTACATACCAATCGTAGCACATATAACAGCACCTTTGGATGCACTAAGATCTGCTAACAACATAGAAAAAATATGGAATGAAAAACATCAGAAATGCTTTGAACAACTAAAAGCAATATTGCAAAGCAATCCCATATTGCAGCACCCTGATTTATCACATCCTTTTCTAGTTGCCACTGACGCATCTAACCTAGGAATTGGAGCAGTATTGTATCAAATAATAGATGAACAGAAACACTATATAGGATTTATGGCACGCGCACTTTTGAAATCAGAGCGAAACTACTCTATGACTAAAAGAGAGTTACTAGCAGTAGTGTTTGCACTGAAAAAATTCTATAAGTTTCTCTGGGGAAATCACTTTACCCTATATACGGATCACAAAGCCTTGACCTATATACACACGCAAAAAATTGCAAACCTCATGATGATTCAATGGCTAGATACTATACTGGATTATAGTTTTGATATACTCCATATATCTGGCATCCTCAACAAATTGCCCAACCAACTATCACGTCTTTTCTCCATAGAAAACACGCTGGAGGGGGGTAATGAGGCAATTAAGACATCTAAAGAGCACAAAGACCGCATACACAATTCAAAATTCAAACACATAGCATATAAAACCAAGACTGAAAAAGAAAAATTATTCAAAGTAACAGTACAAAACATGAATCTCAATTATATGACACCACTGGAAGGTGAACGCAAAAAGATAATCCAAGATGCACATCTATTTGGACACTTTGGTGCCAAACATATTGTCGAACTCATCCATAAAAATGGGATGCATTGGACCAATATAATTAAAGATGCTTTAGAATGTGTAAAAGAATGTGCATCATGACAGAAGTACAATATAGCAAGAAAAGGATACAATTCACTTAGACCCATACATGCGTACATACCAGGAGATCACTGGGCTATAGACTTAGCTGGTCCCTTAGTATCTCCTTATTTTATCCTACGGAGAGTTTGAATTTTGAAAATCCGTTGAGGTAGTGACAGGTTTTACTTTTGGTAAATTCAATTAGAATTGTATTTGTTTATATCAATCAGAAATATTTTTTCTTGTACTTTTATCTTTTAATGATATATATTTATTATTTTTATTATTATCTCTGAGTATTCAAGTTTCTAAAATATGAAGGGTTCTCACTTCTATATTCATCCATCAACCTCACAGCATCTGCGAGTGCTCTTTTTATAAGATCTGCCTTTGTTTGATCTAAGCCAGGAATTGTCTTCAAAGTTTGAAGATCTTCAAAGCCGTGATGCATCGTTGCAGAATAAGCTGCAATTTCGTCAAAGACATATACACCTCTATCTTCAGCAGTACCTCCACTCTCTAATTCCTCCTCTACTTCTTCCTCAACTTCGTTCTCGTTTGCATTTACAGCGTCTTGTCGGTTCAATACCACTCCTGCTATCTCCCGTTGCTCGATGAAGCTGAATTTTGCCCCACAGTAACGCTTCAACAAATGTGAATGCTTGCATGGGATCTGGCGGGTCAGAAAGTTCGGGCAGGTGCAGCTTTGTATCAAGTCATTTGATATATTGACGGTATACCACTTATCTTCTGTTACGAAAGATCTTATTTGCCACTCACCATTATAATCATCCATGCTGTTACCAGTCTCACCCAAAGGGTTGAGAATCATGGAAGGGAGCATGTCATTTTGGATTTTTGAAGCAACAAAAGAATTTCTTGCTAACTCATTATCAATGGGACCCATCTTACCATTGTTGAAGTGAATACGCTCAACCTCTTGTTCAAAATAGAACTCCACATCATTTGTCAAGATAAAAATTAGTCGATCCAATCTTCTGATGCGTGCACGACCAAAGTAAATTGTCTTGAGTTGATTGTGCCATGATTCTACATAGTTGTTTGTCACATATCTCTGATGTTGTTGGCTAATGTACGGGCGCCCCCATCTTCGCAACAATTCTTCGTTCTCGGTCCATTTCTTCTCAAAATATTTCAAAAACTGAGGTTGATCCTGAACCATCAGTTTAAAATCTTCAATTGCTCTTAGGAACACGTCTTTGTTTGACTCGATGAGAATGTGTCTCAGGTAGTTCTTCAGTGCAGTCTTATAATTCCCAAGTTGTTCTGATGTATAAGAGGCATTAAGTTTAATCTTGCTGTCAAGGTTGTGCTGCCAAGCGCGAAGAACATGAAAATCACAGTAGTGAATTGTAGCATGAGGTAATGCTTCTTTGATTGCATTAACCTCCATAATGCTACAGTCAATGGTAATATTCATTGGTACGAAGCTGCTCTTGATGCGAAGGTGGTCAAGCCAAAGTTTGATGGGTATGGCTGTCTGGTTGTTTGTCACCATGTATGCAACAGGGAATCCCTTTCCTGTTTGAGGATGGCGAGTGACCAAAGTATATAATACTTCGTCGCTTCTGGACGAAATGGAATGGGTGGCATCGAGACAAAAAGATTGCGAGATTCTCATGATTGAAACTTGCATTGGTGATTGAAATCCAAAGGCAAATTGTTTTTTACCATCATTATAAACAGAAAGATTGATTTCAAAAATGCAATAGTTTTGTTCTGCTAGCTTTACATTTAACCAGATGGAAATAGATGCATTTTCATCAGAAGCAAACATATATAACAAAGTAGTCATCTATTTTATATACGAGTATTTATTTGATATATAAATATTAATTTAATACGAAAGCTCTGTTATATTCATTGACAAACCTTTCTCATTCTGTTGTAAATTTCTTCATAATTAGGCTTTCTAACGCCAACTCCCCAACTATCAATCTGTCTAAGAACTGAAATTCTTGTACTTCTACAGCTGCTGCCACTTTTCAACTGATCTTCAATAATCTTTATGGCTTCAGAAGGCAAAGGAAGAGTTCTGACTTCGTCCCAGTCTCCAGGAACATGGTTTACATGTGCCCTTGTTTGGCAAAATGTAACAACATTGGGGTTGTCAAGATGCTGTATGATTTTTAAGGCAGCTGTACAAGAGCATGCCTTCGTATCTTTCTGGGCAAGACGTAATTGGCGGTTTGTTATATATTGGCCAGCACGGTGGCATTTTTTAGTCTCTCCAAAAACTAAACCTTTTCCAGAATATTTATGCTTTTTATTCCATTTTGTTGAGCATAAGACATTGATTCGCTCCAGACACTTTTCCCATTCACTAGCTTTTACTAATATTGTCGAATTCAAAGGAAGCATCTTGATTCCTTCCAAAGGCGAGTTGATCAAGACTTGTTGAATGGTGGAAATATCATAAATAGTGTTGTTTATATTGTTGTTAGACATAATTGAAGTTTGTTTTTAAGAAAGAGGGAAGTGATTATTTGTTAAAAAAAAATGCCATGTGTGGGATGCAAAAGCCACTGTCTGCCATTAAAGTTAGAAAGCCACAGGACTAAATTAAATACTAATTCAAACTCTCCGTAGGATAAAATAAGGAGATACGTCCCTTAACACCTACTGACAACAGAAACATATACCTGTTTGTCATGGTAGATGTATGCACACGTTTTTGTTTATTAAGAGCCATACTAAATAAACAATCAGACACCATAGTCAAAACCCTAGTACAAATATTCAGGGATTTTGATTTTCCAAAAATAATACAATCTGATAATAGTACAGAATTCAAAAATGAGTTAGGGTGCACCTTTTTTATAATAGACAATTTTTGAAAAGAGGACATTTTTTGGAATTTAAGTACTGATTCCAAAATAGTATTTTAAAGTCAGAAATGTGATATTTATTGATTTAATCTCAGCTTACGATGAGATTTGTGAAGCTTTAAAAATTGTTTTACAATTTCAAATGCATGTTCAGCATCATGACCAAGACTGTAGGCATTGATGTAGGCAAAACTTTTGTGGAAGTATCTTCGAATCTTTTCAGGGACATCATCTTCTGGTGGGCAAACACTATCCAGAAACGAATTGATTTTTCTATTCAATGATTGAAAAGAATAATCACATTCATGTCGTGCTTCTTTCTTGGCTGCTCCCCAGTATCTTTTGATCCAATTACATTCACAGTGGTATTTTGGATACAGTTCAAATTTGTGTCCACTGCCTTCAACTATTTCTTTGAGTGCTGATTTTTGGTTGGCAAAGTCTGGTTGTCTCTCCATAATATGGATTGCATAACATCTAGAATCAGCTGTCACAACATTATTGCAAGAACGTTTTAAAGAGTATTTCTCTGCTTCGTTTCTATACATAGAACGTTGCTGTAATATGCTGCAAAGGCCAATGAAATATTTTTTATATTTTTTATTCTAAATATGAATAGTTTATAGACACGTCTTTTAGCATAAAGTGATCCCTTATTGTAATTGTATAAATTATGTTTCTATTCGGATAGGATTGTATATAAATCACTTACTTTATGGAGCCGAGACTCGATTACTTCATATTCTTTAAGTTTTTCTTCATTACTCTTTTTTTGAAAAAAAACTTTTTGCTGTTCTGCATAGTCGTATTGCTTTCTGACATAAAATGAGCTGTCACGAATTTTCCCTGACCTGAGTCACTGTCTTTTACTTCAATTGCACACAAGTTCATGTTTTGTGCCAAAAGAGCATCTTCAGGATAGGCTTTATGATTGCTGCTTTGATCAAAAAGAAAGACAGCTACTGCATTTGGGTGTATGGCATTGAAAAGAGATATTATATGGTGCGATCAGAGATAACTATCTAAGTTTTTGGGTATTTTTTAAAAGTTTATAACTTTTGCAAAACTTAAGTTAATATAATTCTGAGCTCTTAATTTAATAGATATGATCATTATCTATAGAATTAAGAGTTTACAATTGCTCTAACTACTCTGAATAAAAAGTCTTAGACTTTCAAAGTTGGGATGTATTGGCCTATTTACAATGGAGTTTACCTGGTTTTTACGATATTGAAACAAGTTAAATGCCTGTCACTGATGGACATTAAATATAATTTTTTTAAAAAGGCAAATTACGTGCATGTGACTTTGACTTTTATTGCATACCTTTTATAGGATTTCCACTCCAAAAGTTATATTTTTTTCAAACTATATATTTTGCAAAATCAAAACTTTCATTTTGTGCTCCGACTATATATAAAAAAAATCAATTTATTTCTTGGCTATTTGTACATTGGGAGAAGAAGCTATTGCTATGATCAATCCAGCCTTGGCAGTTTTCCATAGCGATATGGCGGGAGCACTCAGCAATATACTTCAAGAATTGACCACATACCAACCCGGGCTTTCTCTTGACCAGTGTTTTGAGTTTGGAGAAGCACTCTTCAATTGGGTTTAGGAAAGGAGAGTATGGGGGGAGAAAGTGTAGATGGTGTCGTGAATTAGCAAACAATTCAGTGACAAGATGAGATCTATGGATCGAGACATTATCCATAATGAAGTTGTGAGGGGCAGCATTACTGTGGTCGAGCGAATCCATAATTGTCTTTACAAATTCAACGAAAATTGGTCCTGTCATGCCACCAGGGGTCAACTTCGCCTGCACACTCTCAACACCTTGGTAAGAAATACTGGCAAGAATTGAGATATTTAGTCCCCTTTTCGACTTCGTCTTCACAATGCTGGCCTCGCCTTTCTTGGACCACCCTTGTCCTCTGATCAGGTTTGCATTAAAGCCTGCTTCGTCCACAAAAATGCAATTGGTTTTATATAATAAACCATTCGTGTGCATACTGTCTACGTATACTTTTCTCAACTCAATAGTCTTCAAGTTGTTTCTTTTTTCCTTGACCAGCTTGGTTCTCTTCAATGTGAACCCAATGTTTTTGATAATGTGCTTATGTAAGTCACTGATGCTCAAGTTCTGCTCTTGAAGCTCTGGAAATTTTCTAAACAGTTTCTCTCTTCTTTGACCAAGAGTCAAGGTGCAGCATTTGTCCAAGAGGTCTTGAACGAACTTCGAATGCTCATCGGTTATCTTAAGACTTTCCGTGCACGAGCCACCTCGCTTCTTGGGCTCTACAGTAGCATCCCTCTCAAACTTGGTGATGATGTTGTTAATTGATGCCCATGAGACACCAAATGCCCTGGCTGCTTTGGCTTGGGTCATGGACTCTTCTATATAACATTTCTCCACAATCATGTTCTTGATGTGGATCGGAAGAACCTTTTGTGGTCCATTTCTCTTTCTTCTCTTAATGATAGCGATTTGATTGGGGTTCATGTTGGAGGATTTGAGTATAGAAAAAGGTAATAGATAAAGACAGTTCCCAAAACCATATTACAAACTTAGCATTATATACTTTTCTTATAACAATATATTGACATTGCATGTTTTCTTATATTGTTTTTAATAAACAGTGTAGACATTCTTTAAATACTTTATTGCACATATTAGCATTCTTCATGCTCTTTATTAATTTGTTTTAAATTTCTTTCTATCCGCATTAATTAATTTATTTTTTTCATATATAGTCGGAGCACAAAATGAAAGTTTTGATTTTGCAAAATATATAGTTTGAAAAAAAAATATAACTTTTGGAGTAGAAATCCTGTATTATTTTGGTCTTCCTCAAGTGTTACTACTCAAGCTTAACACACTTATATTTAAAACACTCTAAAATGCCTCGTCCAAAAAAGAGATCAACAATGGCAAAGAAAATAAACAGATCGGCTAGTAGTGGAGCTTTTATTAAAAAAATACAATTAGAAAATGAAGATTATGTGGACTTGGAGTTTGACCATGAAGACGATATTGTTTTGGACGACAGAGCGCTCCAGGGAATGTCAGAAGAAGTTACTTCAGCTGCATATACAAACCAGCTGCTGAAATGGCATGAATGTGCTAATAAGTCGCTTCGTAGAACTTATCAGAAAAATTCGCGAACAACTGAATGGAGAAAAAGAAAAGCAGATAATGATGCTTCAAATACGCAAGGAAGCTACCGTCTTACAGATAAAGGCTTCTTTATTAAAGTTCAAAAAGAGGCTCCAATTGAATTAAAAGAATCTATTGATAGTGAATTGGAGAACATACAGATTGACAAAATTGCTGTGCTTAAACTTGCACATGAAGATGTTAAGAAAGAGATTTTCCCTTATACTCGCGCAGGTCCTTCTTCTCAGTCAGTTGATGCTTTTGAACTCTGTAAGCTTAAATCAGTTGAATGCTACCTTCGATACAGAATATCAGGCGCCAAAACTATGGAAGCTTCAGAGAAAGCATCGATGGAAACATGGCTTCACAAAAACACTTATCGTCCAGCTGCTATAAGAAAGTATGCCAAAGAGTATGTTGATTTCTGTTCAATTGCCTTACATCAACAAGGAAAGCATTTGAGAAGACATTCTTTATTTTCGGATGAATATATAAAGTCTACTATCTGTAAATGGATTCAAAAACAGAGACCAGAAAGTCGAAGTCTTATCGAAGTGAAGAAGTACATTGATGGAGAGATTTTGCCAAGAAAGCTTGGTATACCTGGAAATACTTCCACAAATACAATCTGGAAGTACCTTCATGAATGGGGTTATGTGTTTAGAAAGAACTCTAAAGACATTTATTACAATGGTCATGAAAGAGAGGATGTGATTGCATACCGCCAGAAATGGGCAAAAAGAATGATGGTGTACAAGAAGAAAATGGCAACTTTTTCTGAAAATGAAGAAACTGTAGTTTTGCCAGTACTTAGATCCAATGAAATAGAGCATGTTCTTGTTACTCCCGATGAATCGACATTCTACGCAAACGATGGGAAAGATACCATGTGGCCAATAGAAGATGAAAATCCTATTCGTAAGAAAGGTCCAGGAATGTCTCTCATGATCAGTGAGTTCAAGTGTGTATGCCACGGAACAATGGCTAGAGGGGCATGGCCGTCACGAGAGGTATTCCGCCCTGGGGCCAACAGAGATGGGTACTGGACGAGTGTGGATATGTTGAAGCAATTGAAAAACAATGTTATTCCTCTTTTTGAATTGATTCACCCAGGGTGCAAGGCCGTCTTTTCATTTGACCAAAGCACAAATCATAAAGAGTATGGTCAAAATGCTTTGATCTCAAGCAAAATGAATCTAAATGACAAAGAGATTGAAGACGACGATCCTTGTTCTTTGCAGGATACAGTATTTGTCTGGAATGGTGTAGAGGAAGTACAATCAATGTACTACGAGAAGGACGAATGGTTTGCAAAGAAAAGCGGACAATGGGTCCAAAATAAGGTTAAATATGTTAAAGGCGTCCGTCATATTCTGAAGGAGCGTGGTTTGTGGCTTGAGAAGGATCCGTATAATCCTATTAAGAAATGGCGACTAGACTGTAAGAGTAAAGACGCCTCTGAAGATAGCAAGTGCTGTGCACATCATTTTCTGGCTTCACAACCAGATTTTATGTCACAGAAAACTGCTCTTCATGAGGCTGTCGAAGACTCTGGTCATATATTTGAACTTTACCCTAAGTTCCATTGCAAATGCAATTGGATTGAGAGGTATTGGGGTGCCGCAAAGCATGAAGCTTGCCTCCAGTGTGACTATACGTATAAGTCCCTGGATAAGAATATCCATACTTTCCTGAATCACGCTGGTAAGCTTCCAAATATCTGCCGGTATTACAACTGCTTGTGGTGCTACATTGAGGCATACAGCCAAGAGATGAACGTGAAAGAAGCCAATGATGTTGTAAAAAAATTTACAAAAAAAAATATACTTCTCATCGCCGTGATGAAGGAAGAGAATAGAATTTTTATCTGTACTTTCTTTATTTTTTATTATTTTTGCTTATAAATTATCTTTATCTCTAATTATTATTTTATTAAATATATCAATTCTACTTTTGTGCTTAGTCTTTACGTTTTGAGTGCTAAATATCATTGAATTTTGATTTTTTTAAAGGTTGTCGGACATTAAATCATAATTGGCTGGCGGAGTTTTCCAGGAGAAAATTGAAACAAATGCAAAAACATTGATACTTATCTCCGATTGCACCATAGCTTACTTGTAAATAATATTAAAGAATAAGACGGTTTTGCAACATCTGGAATATAATTAAAAAGCATTAAGCTATAATTGTGCATTTTAAATAAAGAGTTGATATTTGATTCAAATAATAATAATTAAAAATATTCCTACAAGATTTTAACTTTTATTGATGTGCTTTTGCTTGGCTGGAATGTGGGTGATAGGAAACATAAGAAAAATAAATACAGTATTTAAGATTAACTAATGCTACTGATAATGGGGACCAAAAAAAAAGAAGAAACAGAGTAAAATATTTTATTGCTGTATACAAATATGATTATGTGGCTTGTGGACCATGCTTTTTTTTTACTTTTCTAAGTACGTCTGCTGCGTTTTGGTCTCCATGGTTGTGTTATAACTACAATAGACTCTTCTTCAGAGATACTGTAGTTGACACTATTTGAAGCAAAGAAATTAGCAATTTAATTACATTATATATTGAAATGAGTCTGTTTGTACCTGTTGCCCTGAGCTGGCTCAGCCGATCTCTCCTATGATATTTAAAATCAAATTAATAAAGATACTTGACCTTTGCAAATTATATACAAACCTTTCTTCTTTTTTCTGTTTGGCTTTCAGCCTTTATTACTTCCTGTAAAAGAAGAGAAGAAGCCCATTGATCTCAACATTTGTAAAGTGGGAAGTTTTAATTATTGAAAATTAACTCCTCAAGTTGCAAAGAGTAGTATAACTTTTTCTGAGAATTCAATTTTCCCCAGTTTACTTCCACAACATTCTCATCTTTCATTATATATCAACATTGTCTGGTATACATATGAAACTGCAAGCAAATAAACTTTTGCTCTATTACTGATATATTTATGTCCGTCCCTTTTTGTTTTTTTCCAGAGGTAGTTAATCAATGCATTGATTCTTGCAGTGGCACCTGGGGTCTTGTTTGTTTCTCAAGGTATGAACTCCATACCTGCCTCATTTATTGTTGCAAGTATATGTCTTACACCCCTGTCATCAGAATGGCTTACTAGATATGTCATTTGTCTTTTGATTACAGATTGTTCAATGACATCTTCGAATACAATTTATAAATATACAAAACAGTTGCTAAACCCATTATTCTTATCTCTATGAATGTTACTAGTTCTATCTGCGTTAAAAGTCTGTCTTATAAACTGTTGTTGATTAGCAACGTTTTTATCAATTCTAGCAACTGAAGTGTAGATATCAGCCAATTCCTCCCAAATAACAATTCTAATTATGTTTAACATATTAATATCCAATTGGCTATTCATGTTAAGTAGATGATTTAAAGATTATAAAAAAGAAAAGAAGAAATAAAAGATAATGAAAATAAAGATAGCTAATATATGTTGGGATGGATAAACATATAAAATACGTTAAACCTCAACATCCAATTGATACAGACTTTATGATTAAAGCTATAAGATTGGTTTCTTTTTGCTTTCTATAGCAAATTGAATATTGCATTCAAAACAAGAAGCAAAAACAAGAAATTAACAAATAAAATATAGACAAAATAATCAATAAGAAATTATATAGATTACTTATTTCAAAATAAAAGTAGAGCATAGCAGAGTTTATATGTTTTCTGATTTATGTTTTAGGACGTACCTAAATAAACTTTATTACAATGAGTCATCTTGCAGAAGTATTATTCTTCCAGAAAATTCTGGAGAGACTAATTGTTCTGATACTTCTCAAGTCATATCAATTCAAAAATTTTGGTAAAGAAGACCATTTATGCTATTGGTAATATTTTAGTATTCCAACCAGATATTTAGGTGATGTTTCATAATGTTTATCAATTGTAGTTGTAATCTCTCAATTAAGTATTCATATAATAAATGAGATATGTAAATGAAATATAATAATACTATAGATATAATATATGTGTACTTATATATTCTATGCTATTGTGATAATAATAATTAATCCATAATAACTAATAATCAAATATGGGTATGATGATCAGTGCATAAAATAATATCTTAAAGACATATCTGGCAAAGTGAAATATCTGAGGCTATTATATTATTTTTTAGTCTTACTCTCAAAGTAAGCAGTAATCAATACTCACTTACAACATCAACAAACTGCACTGATAAACTCAAAAAATATAAAAATGTGAGCTCACAATCTCATTCAAGATTAAAATAACTCTTGTTTTATTTTAACTTTCATATACTACCCTTTTTTCAACCTTATTAATGTCTTATTCAAACAAAAGAACCAGAAGATTTAATGACTTGCCTTCTTTCGAATGCAATTTCTGTAGCTTGACTTACCATACTAGCAAGCAACTTCGCAATCACAAGCGTATTTACAAAATAGTTGATGCTCCTGTTGCTAACAAGAACTTACAAGAATCAGTTGTGCAATCTGCTTTAGCACAAACAAATCTAGAAGATAGTATGTATTTGAAAAAATTTAGTACAAACTTTCCAAACATAAATATTTATAACCCTAATTGTCTGTTACAGTTTCATTTGATCCTTTCCAGTCAAGAACCTTTAAAGCATCTTTCAACTTTGAAGCTGGTGACCAAGGACATGTCTACAACAACAATATCTTTACTAACAATATCTTCACAACATCCAAGCTATTCAGTATTTGCTTGAATGATCTTGTAACCAATTTTGAGGTTTCTACAGATCTGCATCATCTACTTGTAGATCTTATGAGCACAGTCATTTGTGATAAGGACAAGCTCAAAGAAGGTATGTTCAATTCAAATTTCCTTTAGATATTCTAGAAAGTTAACTAAAATGTTGAAACATTAGAGTATAACTCAAAAATCTTGCATACCAGGCCTGTCAACACGCTCATCAAAAGCAAGACTGACCTGAAGTCTTATGTGTACAACATTTGTGACAATATTTGCTCACTTTTTGACATCACCAAGGATGAAGACAAATGCTTCATTTTCAAGACCTGCAGATACAAGGAGATCAACAGTGATTCATCTCTGGTACCAGTAAACACCATGAAGATGATTTCATTTGGTGAACAACTAGCAAGACTTCTTGGTAACAACAAGACAAGATCAAAGTTGCAATACAGGGCCAACAGACAATCCATTTCAAATGAAATGTCTGATTACTTTCACTATGAATGAAATTGGTGTGGCTGCCACTAATGGTAGTGGATATGCCACTAATTTATTTTAATTAATCAAGCAAATTGGTTCTAGAGTTTGGTAAAAATATTAAAAAAAGGTGAAAAAGATAAAGTTGTATTTAAGAGCAAAATAACATAATACAAACGTTTTTTTTACATATATATCATATAGAGAGTATAGCAATTTGATTTATTTATTTTTTATTTGAAATCGTAAAACTTTTTTTTTGTCTCATTGTCAAGATTGTTGTATTTTGACAATACTACTAATCAATGTGGCAGACCAACTATCTTTCCCACTAATTTACTGAAAGTGCAGGATTTAAATTGATTTTTCTTTATATTTTATTTTGTTTGAATTTTTATTTTGCATTTTTTTCCTTTTCAACATAAATGAACATCATCTTGAAGTTATTTTTTAAGATGATGATGAGTCTCTATAGCTACTTTATACATCTAATTTACATGACTTGCTCTCTATTTTATTTTTACCTGTTTTAATTTGCTAAAATAAAAGTATATTTTAATTATCAAAAAAACAAAAAGTTATTTTTTATTGCTTGTGAGAGAAGTAAGACATATTCCTGTTACAATGACAGAGGCTCGTGTTGACTTTATTCTAACAAGAACAAATAAGATACCAAGTGCAACTGCAAGGATAAATGCACTGATCAACTATCTGTGGAAAAAGAAACAGGAAACGGATATCAGCGTATTCTTAGAAGAGCAAAAGCTCATTCAACTGCAGTTCTACATGTATACAAGGCAATGCCAACATATTATGCGTGAAGACGGCATTGTAGAGACGAACTGAGAAAGATTGAGTAGTCAACAAAAGTTGTACTACTCCTTGAGACTCGAGGAGTTAATTTTGAAATACCAATTTGTTTTACACAAATTCAGAGATCAATGAGTTGCTGTTCTTCTCCTTCAAGAAGTGATGAAGGCTGAGCACCAAATGGAGAAGTGACAAATCATACATATTAAATTTAGTATCATGCAAGATATTTCAATAATACTTTTCTTTATTAAAAAATATGCTAGCAAAGTTAAGCAGAGAAGTTCAAGGAGAAGAGTTGAGGTATGTATAGATTATTCAAATGTAAAACTTAATACACTGACTAAACTATATTTTTAAAAGTAGCCTTGGTGAGGCAGAAAGTAGTGTGGCAGTCTCACCACCAAGAAGAAACATGCGGAGCCATCGAATTTATTTATTTTTTGAATTCCCTGTTATTTCTCTCTTCCAGAACAACAACAAAAAATTCTCTTAACAATCTCTCTTTTTTTAATCAATGACAAATCTACTTATTTCCTCTACTTTCTTCCATTACTTTTCCTGTAATCACATTCAAACAACATGCACCACTCAAAATTTAAGACACTCTTGATATAAAATCACTACAATTGTGTTTTGATTTTTAAAAAAAGACTAATGCAACTAGAAAAACACATTTTTTTGCAGTTTTTTTTTCAAGCAGCTACTATATAATAAACTCTCGACTTCCTTTCACAAAATACAGCCAATGTAAGTTACAGTCTTACTAAAGTGATATTGTATAGGGTATACTAAACAATCTGGCTAGCTATCAATGAGTAGGTGCATCTAATTACTTGGGGCTTGTGCTGCAGTATGGTAGCTACCGGACAATCTTTGAATGCAAACAAATTATAAGGGTAAGCTTACTAGGCCATGTGTATTTACTTTGTATATTAACTTATTTTTGTAGACTTCGTCTTTAATCACAATTACTTGAAGCTGTTAATGAATATACTTGAGGTAATTACAAAAAAAGACACTTTTAAGTACATATATTCATAGTATTCTTTACTTTAGCTTTACACAACACTGAAATAGGATTGCTTGAACGTTCTTTTAATAGAAAAGCATCAACAATTATAATTCATAATGAAGAATCCTGTCATCTATAGCTGATATATCTAAAGATATGTATTACTTGTATAACTAATATATGAGTTAGTATATGTACAAGTTATATTGCTAGTATTATTATTAAGCTTGTATATGAATATGCATCATTATATGCCATGTGAAAGACATAGCATACTATATATTTTATTGTATAGTCCATTGTATAGTCTATAGTATAGGGCATTGCATAGTGCATTGTATGGTATATCATATAATACATCATATAGTATATCATATAGTACATTGTAAAGCCTATTATATATTTTTATTGTATATCCTACTGCACAGCAAGCGTATGAATAAAAATAAAATCCACCAATTTTGCCACCAATTTTTCCATATATGGATTTACTACCAAGCTTTTACCACCAATTTTTCTATATATGGATTTACTACCAAGCTTTTACCACCAATTTTTTTATATATGGATTTACTACCAAGCTTTTACCACCAATTTTCTATATATGGATTTACTACCATACTTTTACTACCAATATGTTTGAAACTAAGCCAATCAAGGATGCTGCCTTACTATTCAGTAAATTAGCGGCAATACCACTATGATTAGTGGCAAGCATAGCTCATTTACCACCAATTTCCGCTGCTTTAGCATAGTGTGGGTAGCCATCAAATTTCATGCAAATTAGTAGTATTGCCACACCAATTTCATTCATAGTGTTTGATGGTGAAGAGTACAAGACTCAAAAAGAGTAACAGCTCTTTAATTCCCTCAATGACATAGCAATTGTTCTGTTTCTTGATTGGTTTTGTAAGCCAAAAAAAATCGAAACAGCAATTAACTATTATATATGTAATGGTGTTAAACTATAATCCTGAAATTAGATAATAATTAGTGCAAAACATAAAAGAATTTTTTATAAATGGGCTCTCTTAGACTTATTTTTTTTTGTGTTAAGATATACTGATGAATAGCTCATCCAACTTGCGATTATATCTGGAAAGCCCAAAGATCTTGACTCTTTCTTATTGGCTATTATAGACGAAATAAGTAGCTTAGAAAAACATGGGTTGATCATCAAAAAGTTCAATGGCAAGCAGATTAAAGCTAAAGTTCACATGGTCATGACCTCTGGTGATATTCCTCAAGTAAGTTAAAGAAAAACTAAGGAGAAAAGCAACTCACCATTTTGAGCAAAAATAGGTTACCCAATTTTGTCACCACACAGGTCACATGTCCAACAAAGGTTGCCGGATATGCGAGGTAGAAGGCGTCAGCCCTCCCCATGGTAAAGGGAAATACTACCAGGACCGTAATGTCACTTTGAGAACAATAAACGACTTTGTTAGAGATAAAACAGTAAGTATACTATAATAAAAAAAAAGAATTGTATAGTAATATAAATTTTATAGGCCACCAGTATTAAAGAGGCAAACATTTTTGCTAAATTGCCTACCTTTAGTAGATTATGCTTCTATGGACTTGATGAGATGCATTTAATTGGCCATAAAATAAACAAACTTGTCTACAAACTAGTTGTACTTTTCAACACTGAATCATTGGAAGCTTACTGACCAAAGAGTGAAGACAGAAGTCATTTCCTGAAAGAGAGATATATCTTCTCTCTGAAGGAAAGTGATGTTAAGCTGGCCGGTAGACAAATCCAGTATTCTAGATCAAACATATCTGTATCCTTCCAAGGCAGTTAGGATAATATTATTGACAAGAGAGAAGGCGTAAGAGCAATTGAATACATTGATTTCCTTTTGTATGTTGTTCCCACTCTGCTGGTTTCTCTGTTTACAAGACAAACAACTCAAAAGGCACTCTTGGCTCTGGTAAAAGGTTGCTCTATATGCTTGCAGTGGAATTTAAATGAGAATCTGATTGTGGAAATAGAAAAGTAAGTTGAAATGAGCTTTGAAACTTTATTATTTGAAAACAATGCTTACTTTCTTTTTTAATAGCAATTTCAACATTTGGCATCAGTTTCTGGATTCTGAGATTACAAAAAAAAATCTATCAGTCAGAGTCTTCTCTCCCATAAACCATTATATTATCTATATTAATCTTATCACAAGAAAGATAGATAATTTAAGGGTGTACAGTACCAGATCCATGGAACAAACAATTGATAGATATTCTAAGTTGATCAAAAGTAAGGTCTTCAGTGAAAAAAACGTGGGCAACTTGGTGGAGTGACTAGCAATCTGTGGCTATCTGAACTGCTCGGTAGATTTTGATGAATTGGTGAGTCCAATTATACTACAAGAACATCTCTGAACGACTTCCTGAAACTTTCATATCTCTCTCCCTACAATTATGACCATCAACTCTGGAGTCCGTTTCAAACTATACCCTATATACAAGAATTCACTAACATACCCACGTTTACCAAGAAATTACAAGCCTTTTATATCTGATCTAATCCACAGCAAACTGATCCACAATATACCATGAACACAATCCAGATAGCAGCGCGTGCCTTAATTGGTAGCCCTGTATATAGTTTGGAGATAAACAAAAGAAAGAGATCAAAATTCTCTCGAGGCAATCAATATATAAAATTTCATGTCATATACCAAAAGTAAGTTTTTCATAAAGAAATGTCCTATAGAATGAAGTTTCTAATTATTCTATTTAAATCTTAGCAAAACCCACTGGTTTATTGTGTCTGTTGTTTTTTATTACTCACACAACATCTCACATCATGATGAAAACAGCAGGCAGTTTCTCATGTTGGTAAGTGTTATGAATGATCACTCAGCTGCCTACTATGACAATTACATTCCAGTTGTAACTCTAGAAGCAACTTCAATATACCAAAGATTAGTAGTAATTAGTCTAAATGATATCCAAAATCAAGTCGGCTTAGTTCAAACCACTATGGACTCGAAGAAATATAAAGTAGTTGCTCCATATTATATATTTAATGAAGATATAAAAAGTACTGCTGAAAAATTAAGCCATATCAAACTGTAAATATCGCATTATACCCATTTTTTATCTTTCTTTCCTTAATATACCCATGAACAATAAAAAAAACTTTTTTTTCTATTTCAATAATTCAAATATATTTTTATTTTAACAAGTTAAATTAAAGAAAAATTAAAAGACAATAAGTCGTGCAAAGTAGATGTATAAAGTAGCTATAAAGATTCACCTTCTTCATTTAAAAATTATTTTTTTAAGATGATTTCCATTTGCAATAAAAAGGGGAAAAAAATGCGAAGTAAAAATTAAAGCAAAGTAAAAGATAAAAAAAATCAATTTAAATCCCGCACTTTCAGTAAATTAGTGAGAAAGTTAGTTGGTCTGTCATATTGATTAGTAGTATTGTCAAAATACAACAATCTTGGCAATGAGACAAAAAAAGTTTTATGATTTCAAATAAAAAATAAATAAATCAAGTTGCTATACTCTCTATATGATATATATATATAAAAAGATGTTTCTATTATGTGTTTTCACTCTAAAATACAACTTTATCTTTTTCACCTTTTTTAATATTTTTACCAAACTCTAGAACCAATTTGATTGGTTAATTAAAATAAATTAGTGACATATCCACTACTATTAGTAGCAGTCACACCAATTTCATTCATAGTGACTACTGATCGAAAGAGATGTTAATTGAAAGTCTTGGTGCGAGTTAAAGCATACCTTTTTCAAAAATGTATGGTTTCAGTCAAAGATGCCCCTTAGTAAATAATAGTAATGACAGTTAAAATTATGCTTATCTTTGATGACAGCATCAATTAAAACACGTTTTAGTCAATAATAATAAGTATGATATAGACTTAAATATCATAACATTTACTTTAATATTGATAAAAAAGAGTTAATTGACTATATGATGTTCAAATGTTATATAGCTACTGTAGAGTATATTTAAAGTTATTATTTTAACTGGTACAGTGTGTTGGCATTGAGAACTTTAACCAAATTTTATGCTATATCTGCAATAGATATAGAATTATATTATTATATCATATACTTTAAAATGTTTAATAAGTAGACAGTGCAAATTTTGAACATATATATATAATATTGACTTAAAGTCTAATTTATTTTATCTTTATAATTCTTACAGTTTTGATATGTCAGTACAAAAGGGCTGTAATATGTTCACATGAGCTACTGCAGGCAGGTGCATATAAATGCATAAGCATCTTTTCTTTTATATGTTTTGTTTGTATATCTGTCTGTACCTTTTTTATATAAATAGCTGTCAATTGCTTATAATAAGTTGTTGCCTTTCTCAAACTCAAATCGCTCTAATTCTACTTGTCTAAATTATCAGCTTTTCTTTTCAACTCACTACTCATAGCTAGAAAAAAATTAAACATGTCCAATATTAACACAACTCTCCTCAACTCAATTTAAATGATTGAGATTGATCTTGCTGAAGTCAAGCAAGCATTACGCAAGCTTCAAAGGCAATTCAGAAATCAATTTGCGCCAGCAGTCAGTGTGGAAGATCAAACTACATTGCAACAAAGCATTATTGAGCAGAGTTGTAATCATATATATTCTGTGCTTAGATGTTTATTTACTTTATTAATATTGTGATATATTTTTTGTAGCTCTTGAGCGCATTGCCAAGTGTGTAAAAAGAGCCCAGCTCACAGAGTACCTAAATCAGCTTGATGAGTGAGTAATCAATACTGGTGGCGAGTTCAAAGAAAAAAATGAAACACAAAAATACAATCTGTTGCTCCAGATTCTTCACGAGCAGAACTGGAAGACGCGCTGCAAAGAAGTTCTACAAGGGCAGTCTTTGCCTCTGTTAGTCAATCTTTCAGACTATGTTTTGAAAGTAAAAAGACTGCATCTCAAAACATTAGATCGCACAGTAAAGAATGATATCATTAACAAAGATTATCTCACAGTCTCAAAGAATGGAAGAATATCCCAGAGAAAACAGAGAATACTACATGATGCATTTGGAGAGGTTGGCAAAGAATGGTAGATTGCACATCCACTAATTTAAAAGAATGTGGTATGCAAGAAACCTTCTTTGGGAAAGTTTCAAGAGTGACAACCAGATGCACAAGAGAAGAATGGCAGAGAAGAACAAAGTAAGTTTATCAATTAACAAATCTATATATTATAAACTTTAATTAACATTGTTTCCTTTTATTATGCTATAGACACAGCAAGACTTAAGTGATTATTTGCTTTCTTCTCCTGATATGTCAGAAACTGGTTATGTTGAGTTGTCCATAATAGCAGATGTGCTGTAAGTTACCATTTTTGCTTTTTCTCATATGCTGTTAATACAAAACTAATACAAACTTCTTACTCTTTTATGTAGGTCTGCTTCACTCACAGCAAGTGTTGAGCTTGCTTGCAAGAGAAGCCGAAGATCATAGTTTGGCTGCTGTGATTGGCCAAGTTTGATTTTTTTAGTCTGTCTTTAGTGCATTTTTTTCTTATCTTGTCATTTTTCTTTTTATGTTTTTTATTCCTTTTTTCTTTCATATAAAAAATTTATCAATTTCTTTCATATGATTGCTAATGTTCTGATTACAAGAATTTGAAGCAAATGTACAGCATCTAGAATTCCGTTATATTCAAATATAAAAGGAAATAGTATATAGCCTTTTTTTTTAGAAAAAGATTTATAGTAATATTTTTGTACTGATATATTATACTCGGGAGTTGTTCTATTATATGTAAGTATAATGAGTAGAATAAACAGTTTGAGCTTTCTAACAAGATGCTCATTCTGGTTGTATGAATTAGATTCGAATTAGCTTCATGTTACATGACTTGAATCTTTGCTCAAGTTTTTCTTCTTCTACAATAACGACTTTCTATAGTGTTTAAGTTTTATTTCTTTTCTTATATATAGATCTTAAATATTAACAAATTCTTTAATATATTTATATATTCAGAGTAAATGCTTATTTTACTGAACAAGCAAGCATATTATATAAAGGTAAGCATTATAATAATATTATATCTATTTATTTATTTTAAGTTTTTTCTTTAATATTAGTATATTTGTAGAAATTGATAAAAAATAATAAATGCTATTTAAGATATATCAGAATACGCAAAGTATATGAAATACAATTTGAATAGTAGTACTTTATTGCATACGTTTTGCAGTAGCTAAACAGAACCATTTTTTATTGTGGCAGCCAATGAAATTGTTTCTGCATTATTATTATCATTTTCATTTAATAAAACATGCATTGAAATAAAGATTCAATTCAATTAAACCCAATTCAATACTGAGTGGGTATTTTTTGGGCACAAGCATGGTCTTAGATGGTGTCTCTTCAATTTGTAGTCAGAGAAAGACATGGGGTAAAATACTTTTTTTTTTAGAAAAAATTGAAAATCAGAACTTTTTGTGTAGCAGTTTTACTAAGTTTTTTTTTAGTAGAATTCAACTTTTTAAAGTGTATTAGGAAAGCTTGGAACTGACAAGATACATTATTATTTTTAATAAAGATTGTTAGAGAGAGTCATGTAATACTATGGGAAAAAACTCAGGATTTTCGAATTTGTGACTTTCTTTTCGGTCTATAATAATTAAAAAATCATCAAAAATTCAATATGAAACAAGAAAGTCTCTGTTTTTTGAAAAGGTTGACAAAAGGCAGATTGAACACCAAAAATTAAATCTCCTGATAGATAAAAATACATTTTAACTACAGATTTTACATTTTTAGTAGATGTAGATTGCGTATCTCCTTATTTTATCCTACGGAGAGTTTGAATTAGTATTTAATTTAGTCCTGTGGCTTTCTAACTTTAATGGCAGACAGTGGCTTTTGCATCCCACACATGGCATTTTTTTTTAACAAATAATCACTTCCCTCTTTCTTAAAAACAAACTTCAATTATGTCTAACAACAATATAAACAACACTATTTATGATATTTCCACCATTCAACAAGTCTTGATCAACTCGCCTTTGGAAGGAATCAAGATGCTTCCTTTGAATTCGACAATATTAGTAAAAGCTAGTGAATGGGAAAAGTGTCTGGAGCGAATCAATGTCTTATGCTCAACAAAATGGAATAAAAAGCATAAATATTCTGGAAAAGGTTTAGTTTTTGGAGAGACTAAAAAATGCCACCGTGCTGGCCAATATATAACAAACCGCCAATTACGTCTTGCCCAGAAAGATACGAAGGCATGCTCTTGTACAGCTGCCTTAAAAATCATACAGCATCTTGACAACCCCAATGTTGTTACATTTTGCCAAACAAGGGCACATGTAAACCATGTTCCTGGAGACTGGGACGAAGTCAGAACTCTTCCTTTGCCTTCTGAAGCCATAAAGATTATTGAAGATCAGTTGAAAAGTGGCAGCAGCTGTAGAAGTACAAGAATTTCAGTTCTTAGACAGATTGATAGTTGGGGAGTTGGCGTTAGAAAGCCTAATTATGAAGAAATTTACAACAGAATGAGAAAGGTTTGTCAATGAATATAACAGAGCTTTCGTATTAAATTAATATTTATATATCAAATAAATACTCGTATATAAAATAGATGACTACTTTGTTATATATGTTTGCTTCTGATGAAAATGCATCTATTTCCATCTGGTTAAATGTAAAGCTAGCAGAACAAAACTATTGCATTTTTGAAATCAATCTTTCTGTTTATAATGATGGTAAAAAACAATTTGCCTTTGGATTTCAATCACCAATGCAAGTTTCAATCATGAGAATCTCGCAATCTTTTTGTCTCGATGCCACCCATTCCATTTCGTCCAGAAGCGACGAAGTATTATATACTTTGGTCACTCGCCATCCTCAAACAGGAAAGGGATTCCCTGTTGCATACATGGTGACAAACAACCAGACAGCCATACCCATCAAACTTTGGCTTGACCACCTTCGCATCAAGAGCAGCTTCGTACCAATGAATATTACCATTGACTGTAGCATTATGGAGGTTAATGCAATCAAAGAAGCATTACCTCATGCTACAATTCACTACTGTGATTTTCATGTTCTTCGCGCTTGGCAGCACAACCTTGACAGCAAGATTAAACTTAATGCCTCTTATACATCAGAACAACTTGGGAATTATAAGACTGCACTGAAGAACTACCTGAGACACATTCTCATCGAGTCAAACAAAGACGTGTTCCTAAGAGCAATTGAAGATTTTAAACTGATGGTTCAGGATCAACCTCAGTTTTTGAAATATTTTGAGAAGAAATGGACCGAGAACGAAGAATTGTTGCGAAGATGGGGGCGCCCGTACATTAGCCAACAACATCAGAGATATGTGACAAACAACTATGTAGAATCATGGCACAATCAACTCAAGACAATTTACTTTGGTCGTGCACGCATCAGAAGATTGGATCGACTAATTTTTATCTTGACAAATGATGTGGAGTTCTATTTTGAACAAGAGGTTGAGCGTATTCACTTCAACAATGGTAAGATGGGTCCCATTGATAATGAGTTAGCAAGAAATTCTTTTGTTGCTTCAAAAATCCAAAATGACATGCTCCCTTCCATGATTCTCAACCCTTTGGGTGAGACTGGTAACAGCATGGATGATTATAATGGTGAGTGGCAAATAAGATCTTTCGTAACAGAAGATAAGTGGTATACCGTCAATATATCAAATGACTTGATACAAAGCTGCACCTGCCCGAACTTTCTGACCCGCCAGATCCCATGCAAGCATTCACATTTGTTGAAGCGTTACTGTGGGGCAAAATTCAGCTTCATCGAGCAACGGGAGATAGCAGGAGTGGTATTGAACCGACAAGACGCTGTAAATGCAAACGAGAACGAAGTTGAGGAAGAAGTAGAGGAGGAATTAGAGAGTGGAGGTACTGCTGAAGATAGAGGTGTATATGTCTTTGACGAAATTGCAGCTTATTCTGCAACGATGCATCACGGCTTTGAAGATCTTCAAACTTTGAAGACAATTCCTGGCTTAGATCAAACAAAGGCAGATCTTATAAAAAGAGCACTCGCAGATGCTGTGAGGTTGATGGATGAATATAGAAGTGAGAACCCTTCATATTTTAGAAACTTGAATACTCAGAGATAATAATAAAAATAATAAATATATATCATTAAAAGATAAAAGTACAAGAAAAAATATTTCTGATTGATATAAACAAATACAATTCTAATTGAATTTACCAAAAGTAAAACCTGTCACTACCTCAACGGATTTTCAAAATTCAAACTCTCCGTAGGATAAAATAAGGAGATACTAGATTGCAACTGATGACTATTAAAAGTCAGAGGTAAAAGAGAGAAAAATATCTAAACATATTTTATCCTCCCAGCAAAAAGCTAAAACAATTCGAAAAAAAAATGTATTACACAAAAAAAAACAAATTATATATCTGCATGACAACCAAGCAACAATTTTGGCCCACAGTTCAGTTCTGGCCAGACAATATACCATCCATTTGTGGCTGTAGACACCACCAAGCTAACCAGCTCTTTTACATCAGCCAGATGAACAACCTTTGGCTTCGCGGGTACATTTGTCATGACAGGAATTCCATTTGTTTCATGGATGGCATATACATGGACAAGAGCAAGCGGCCACCTCTTGTTGTTGAGCTTGTGCTCAAAGAAAACAACGACCTTCCCAAAGAAATCCTTATAGATTGGAGAGTAGCTCTGCCCAATGTTGTGGTTCTCATCAACCTGAATCTATAATCTGATGTTATGTGCCTCCCTTACACAATTTTGGTCAAGCGCAGAGTCAATCACATAACTATTGACAAATGCCTTGCAGCTAGTTTGTATAGCTGCTTCAATCAGGCTACACTCTTCCCCCTTTGATTCGTAAAAGTCTTCAAGAAGTTTTGAAAGACATGAAATGCCTTCAAAACTATCTCAAATCATTCTATTCCTCAAAGGCCCCCAGAACTCAATATCAGACCCAGCACCAACATGTTCACCTTCACCCATCATTGGCAAACCAGCAGAGAAATCTTCGTATACAAGAAGTCTTGCTGCTCGTGGTCTTGTGCTATCTTTGCCTTTGTGTGCTCTACCTGTCTGGTCTGTGCCAAGCCAAGCATGATATTGCCAGCATTGGTTCTGGTGGCAGAGTTACTCTTAATGGCATTAGAGTACTTGCCAATTGCTTTTTCTACTAATCTAGCACTGTATGATCTTGGCAGGCCAAATGCTTCGGTCATATCCAGGTAGTGTTGTAAGAGGTGCTGGTTAATGGTGAAAACCTTAAGATCGACCTTGTCCTCGGCAAGCAGAGTCTCAAGGTACACATTCCATTCAATAAGTTGTCTAAGATAGAAGTTAGTATATATTTTTAAAAAAGAATAATAAATAATGATATTTAATATACCTTTTTATTGAGGCTTGTTCTTCTGCTGATAACTCCCAGCTCATGAGCAAATTGCACACTTGTACAAGGCCAAGCAATGCCTTCCGTGCAGATATATTTCTTATCTGCTCTGCTACTAGAGTCGGAACAGCAAACAGAAGGAAGTCTGCCCAGTCTACTGCCTTAAAGTATCCTGCATTCTTTGATACGTCTCTCCAAGCACCATAGAACAATGTTGGGATCGTTTTCCTTGTCAATGCCATTGCTGCACCTATCTCTTTCTGAACTCTAACAGAGAGAACAAGCAGATGCTTTTTTCTGTACTTGCCAGTGACGAGCCCCCAGACCTGTTTTGCTACACCATAGCAGATACCATGCATTTCATCCAAGGCAAAGAAATATGGTCTGGAGAATGCATCCAATGTTGCCAGTGGTGATTGCCCTGTAAGTCCTCTTCGGCTGGACTTGTCTGCCTCACAGAAATCATGAAAGCTCCCCAGTGTATGTATGGCAGTGGCTGGTGACATATGGAAATACTGACCGTGGCCAGGAGATTGACCAACAACATGGCAGATTCTGCAGCCATCTTTGCTCATGTGGCCAACATGACATGCTAGCTTTGCCAGAGCTGGGATATCACCCATTGCCATTAACACGTGGACCTTGGCCTTGATGGTTTCTGTGGCTGTTTTGACAGCCATTTCTTCAGACTGCAACACATGGAGATCTCTGACGATTGGTCTCATAAATGACCAGAAGTCAGTAGGTGCCTTGGGCCCAGGAATCATGGCAAGCTGGACCATTCTTTTTCTTTTGTACCGGGTCATTGGATTCAAGTTCAAGATGGTGGCATGGACAATTGTTACTGATCCGGGAACATTGTGAGGAGCAAACCCATCCACAGACAGCGAAATTGCAATGTCATCACTTCCCAAGAAGGGATGCTTCTTAGACTGGTAGGCTTGACCATCGAATACATCAGTCATTGTGCCATCTTGACTTGGCTCGTGGTGGTAATGGTAGCGCATCTCTGTTCTGGTGCTATTGTTGACCAAACAGAGAGCAAGTTGTCTGCCCAGAGGAAGTTGAACCATGGTTCTTGCAGGAACCAACGTACCATTGTCTTGGGCACTCTTGTAGTGATCTTCACTACAATGCGGGCACTCAGTTTCATTTGCATCAAACAACATACAGCCATTGCAGCAAACGTCATATGTCTTCTTCTCTATTCTGGAGAAACGCTTCAGAAGCTCTTTACCAAGGTAAGGTGTGCATGCTCTATATGTGCTTGTAGAGCTAGCAAGAATCTCGTTGAAGTGGCTGGCAATCTTTTCATGTGCATTACAAGAAATGCCAAACTCCTTGACGATTTGGATAAATTCCAGGTTCTTTGCATCGTTGGTACTGGGAGTGGGGAGAGGTTGGCTGAAGTCAAACACCAAAGGTGCGGTTGCATCTTCAATTTCTTCTATGGCAGTTGATTTCTCCATGGTATTATCATGTTCCATATCAGCATCATACTTTAATAAGATAAATAGTAATCAGTATAATGACTTTATACTATATATATCTATAACTTACCATGGGCTCATCATTTTCAGTTCTGTTGACGATATCCATATTTTCATCACTGATCATATTAATGTCTCCACTGTTTGTTTACCAAAGTATCCAGATAATTAATATATTATCTATCTTTTTGTATTTTAGTTTTTAATAAGCTTACTCAACGATCAAGCTTGGGGCTGGTGCTGGTATAGACTGGATTTCAACAGGAAGAGAAACGTCTTGGATGAAAGATCCATTGATAACTGCATCTACCAGCGTTTTAAGAGATCTATTTTGACATTTGGTAGCATTTGAAGAGCTATTGTAAGGCAAATGACAGGAACTGCATTCGTGAGAGGAGATCTTTGTGATTTGAACCATATTTTGGAGTAAGTAAAAAAAATAAAAAGAACTTTTGTTATATAAGTAATTGTAGAAGTAATTGCTTTCTGAATGAATATGTTTATACTTAATTATATCAATGTAATGATGGCATGGATAATTCAAATGTATGCTCATAATCTTAAAGGGGTAACTCTATGCCATCATTCTAAAATTAATACATCAATAATTCTTCAAGAGTAGCCAATAGATTTGGACAAGTAATTTGAAACTAATAATTTGGAGCTAATGATTTGAAACTAATAATAGTTTTAGGGAAAATTTTTTCTCTTTCTTTCTTTTTCTATAACAAACTCATTACTTTTTTTTACTATTATGAATAATATAGATACTTCAGTGATTCAGTTGCTTCAAGGCATTCAAGACGGGCTTATTTCTCTAAAGAATAGTCAAGAAGCATTGGAGAAAAAACAAGATGCAATGCAACTCGAAATAACAAGTCTTCACAATGAATTGAATGATCGAGAACTCCCAGATAATACTATTGTAGCTTCTGTCAATGTAAGTAAATACTATAATAATTAAAGTCTTATCAATTAATATCAGCTACAATAGATATCTACTGACTCTATCCCAAGACTAGTACCAAACATCTGTAATATAAATTCCAATCATGTATTACAGATGATTAAGCAAGACCTAGAAATAAGTCCAACCGCAGAAGTCAAAGGGGCTATCAACACTTGCACCAAGCATATTTGTGATCAGCTTGCTGCTCTTTTGTCTGTTCAGATTCTTGGGCCCAATCCAAGCTGGACATCTATCCCTCAAGAGGACTGGACCAGAATGTGTGTCAGTCATTCACACGCGCTCAAGAATTATGGAATTGATTTCACCAGATGTCATAAAAATTGGGCATCAATCACAAAGGTTAGTCAGTTATGGAGAAGTCGTAGAAAGCAATACCTCTCTGGTAAGTTCATATCAGGTAGGTATAATAAACTGTATACTAAATATGAAAATATGAAATTATTCAAATGATATTTAGCCAATACAATTAATGAATAAAGAATTGCTCTTTTTATAACAATCAATAAAAACATTTTTAAATAAAAATCCTCTATGAAATAAAACTTTTTTGCGCAATTAAAACTGTGAACAAATCCGAATATATATAAATGAGAGCCATTTAAGAGAATGTTTTTGTTGAAATGACCAATACAATTTAAGCATATACTATGATAGAATGTATTTTATCCAATTAAAATAATTATAAAAACCAAAATAATATTTTATTACCAATTAAAGAACTTTTTTCTTTCATTCATACCAATAGAAACCTTTTTCTATTCTTTTACTACCAATTAAAATAAGGGTATAGCAGATGGGTAAATATAGTGGGATATGAATAAAACCTAACATCAATAAGCTAATGGCAATTAAAATATATTACTTAAAAAGGAACTAGAGATTCCACTGCGATTTGCGAGAATTGCCAGCTCAATCCCAAGCTGAATCTCCAGCAGAATCCCCAGCGGAATCCCCAGCGGAATCCCCACTTTTTTTCCTGTAGTGTAAAAGATATTATGAAATAATAATATTAAATACAAAGATATAATGATCATATTATATTAACTTTAAAAGCATAAGAGAAAAAATTTATTGATGAATTGTATAAAATTATATAGTGTATTTTTCTTATAATCAACAAAAAAATGTACTCTGATTATTTTTTTCAAGACCTAAAAAGTGTTGTCAAAAATGACAAAACTGAATATTTTCTTTGCTTACTTTGTTAAGAAAGAGTTTCTCTACAAAGTAAACAGAAAACATTTTTAGTTTTGTCATTTGCAACAGCATTCTTTAGGTCTTAAAAAACGCAGTATTTGAATTTAATAGCAGAGAAAGAGAAGTATTGACACTAAATTTTCCATTTATAATGGTAGATGACAAGAATCAATCCTCTAATATAGCAATATTATATATTATATGGTGTTTAAACAATCTTTTGTGGTGAATATTAAAATAAGTGTGATATGTTGGGATTAGAAGTTGCCTTTGAAGTGGCTGGAAGATATCACAAGAGTAGCTTTTCAGAAGAATAAAGATAATGTTTTATTTTGATGAAGCAATTTGTATTTATACTATCTTAAAGGGATTTTACTAGAAGTTACCAGACATTGGAAACTTCCAGCAAAGTGTAGTATTTCTGAGAAGGATTGAATTGGATTGGCCAGATTAGGATTCAGATTCTAGGAATGACATGCTCATAACATCCAGAGGGTTAAGAAGAGGAAATGTCCTCATTTTGAAATGAGTATTTCTTCAACCATTCCAAGTGGATATTTGTGTGCTTCTTATTGGAGACAGAATCTAAGAGATCAAAATGATCAGCACCAATAGATCTGACCACTAGAAAAGGGCCACACATTGAAGGAGACAGTTTCACTGAGTGGCTGGTGGCAGCATTTGATAGTATGGGAAACTTAATGAGAACTTGATTGCCAATGACGAAGTTAGGTGCTGTACAATGTTGATTATAAATGATAGCATTTTCTGCTTGTGAACGAAGATTTTCTAGCTGAATGAGGCTGTGCACATGAGAAAGCATTTCCTTGATGGAAGAGTGATAGCCGACAAGAGAGACAGATTTGACACCAAGGTCGGATTGTGCTAGGACACAGGCTTCATGACCAAAGACAGCTGAGAAAGGAGAGAGCTTCGTTGAATCGTGAGGACTAGAGTTGTAGACTAGTTGGAATTCATTCAAGTGTTCATCCCATGTAGTAATGTTTGTCTGTGGATCCATGAAAGCAACGATCACATTTCGGAGGGTAGCCATGAATCGTTCAACCAGACCATTTGCTTGGAGGTGATAAGCTGGAGCAAACTTCTGCTGAATTCCCAGTTGGGCGGCCATGTCTTTGATGAGTGTACTAGAGTATGGTTGACCATTATCACTGAGAATAGAGTGCCCAATACTATGGGTGGAAAAAACCTTGTTGAGGCAGGCAGTGACCCATTTACCAGAATTCTCAGGTACAGCATTGAGGACCACGAATCGGGAGAAAAGGTCTTAAATAACAATGATATACCTGTTGCCTGATAGTGAGGTTGGAAGAGGTCCATACGTATCAATTGCAACAGAGTCGAAGGGATGTACTACTGGATTTGAGTGTTGGAGGTTGGTATGACCAAGAGTTGTATTAGATCTTTTAATTTGCTGGCACGCATTGTAGTGAGCAACCTTGTCTTTCACCCACTTGTGTAGACTGGGAGCATAGAAAAGTTGAGTGAACCTTTGGAGAGTGCGACCAACACCAAGATGTCCTGAAGTAGAATTAGCATGGAGGAGGTGGAACATTTCCTCACACATCGACTGTGGTAGGACTGGTTGTGGGCCAAAGAAAAGGACACCAGACGAGACGGTATAGCCTGCAGGAAGTGAGGAAGCACGATGAAGTTCTTGACAGTATGAATCGGTGGCTTGGGAACAAGAGATATCAGGAGCAGTAATCGCACAAATGAGAGACCTAGAGGAATCACGCGTGACGGGGTATCAACTAAGCGCATTGGGACTGGTGTTCTGACAATCCAGGTGGTAAACGATGTCAAAATTTAACTGTTGTAAAGAGAGAGCCCACCGAGCAAGACAACCACAAAGATCAGAGGACTTGGAGTTATGCAGGAACTGAAGAGCATGATGATCAGTGATGACAGTAAACTTGGTACCAGTTAAGTAGTGTGCGAATTTCTTGATTCCCCAGACAATAGCAAGCGCCTCAACCTTGGAAACACCATAGTTACGTTCTGTGGGGGAGAGAGAACGAGACGCATATGCAACAGCATACACACGATTGTTGCAAGGGTCCCATTGTCCTTGAATAACGCCAATACCAGCTGTGCAAGCGCCATCCATATGTAGTTCGAAGGGCTGAGAGAAATCAGGGAAGCGTAGGACCGGAGCAGACATCAAAGCAGTTTTAAGGGTTTTGTAAGATCTCTGATGGGCCGACGTCCAGGACCAGTCAGCGTCCTTTTTAAGCAAATCATTCAACGGAGCAGCTATTGCAGAGAAATTGCTGATAAAACAACGGTAGTAGCCAGCAAGGCCAAGGAACAAGCGAACGTTGTCAGTGGACAGGGGAACTGGAAATTTGGAAACAGCAAGGATTTTCTCAGGATTCATGTGTAAACAACCAGGTGAAAGAACATAACCAAGGAAAGAAATGCAATCACTGCCAAAGGAGCATTTCTTAAGTTTGACTTTGAGGGAAGCAGTACGCAGGCAATCTAAGATTTCTTGAAGATCCTTAAGATGTTGATCAAACAAAGGGCTGAAACAGATGATGTCATCCAAATATACCAGGCAAGTTTGCCACTTGAGGCCAGCCAATACAGAGTCCATGAGACGTTGCATAGTAGCAGAGGCAGAACAGAGACTGAAGGGCATGCGGACAAATTCAAACAATCCTCGTCAACAGACAAAAGCAGATTTGGGTTTACTTTCGTCATCAAGTTCAATCTGCCAGTAGGAAGATGTAAGATCCATAGTTGAAAAGTAACGGGCTGAACCAAGACTATGTAGGGCATCATCAATGCGTGTGAGTGGATAAACGTCTTTAGTGGTTATGTCATTGAGTCGCCGGTAATCGACACAGAACCAAACGGAGCCATCAGGCTTAGGGACTAGCACCACTGGAGAGGACCAAGGAGAGCGACTAGGACGAATAACACCTTGCTGTAGCATTTCATCAATGAGACCATTACAGTAGTCCCTCGATAATTTCAAGGCCTAGGGAAGGCCAGATGCCTTGAAATTATCGAAGAGTGAAATTAACGAGTTCGGAGTATATATTTTCCGCCAACTATGGGCGGAGTTTACATTATTCTTTAATAGAAAAAAAATATATCAAGTAATGATTCGATATGATTCAATCCTCTGTTTAAATTCATTCTAGTTAAATATAACCCCTGGCTGCATTACTGTTTTCTACCCCCTCTGTCTCGTAACCAATTATTGTTTCAAATTCTTATTCAATCAAATAATAACAGCTTCTCGGTATGCTTTTAGCTTATTATATAATGCTTATCTAATATCATTTTCAATTTTTTTGATACTTTAATGAAATCTATCAAATCCAGAACTAAACAATAAATATGACCAAAAAAAACGTTTTGCTTAATATTGCAAATCATCTTGAGATTTGCGATATGAAAAAGAAAAAGCTGTCTATGAGTAACCCTCAATTGGCTGACTGGGCAAAGAAAACCTTTGGCCTTCAGAAAGCTCCTGATGCTTCTACAATCTCGAAGATTTTGAAGAGAGGAGACCAGGGCTTGATAATGCAAGCCAACGTAAAGAACAGAAAGCGTGTTAGAAAGGGAAAATGGTCTGTATGTAATATATCTCAACATTATGCATTTTTGCTCTATATAAAAAATAAAATTAATCTTATTATATTGTCACATAACTATAGCAAATCGAAGAAGCAGTGATTCTTTGGATCAACATTGCTGAAAATAATCAGATTCCCATCACTTGGGAATTGATTAAGACTAAAGCTACTATTTTTGCTGAAAGAATAGGCGTTAAAGATTTTAATGCTTCTCAAGGCTGGATGGAGAAGTTTGGAAAGCGTCATTATATCAAGATGAATCGAATTCATGGTGAGGCTGGTTCAACAGACATAGAGTCGCTTCAGATTGACAAGGCTGCTATCAAAGAGAAGATAGAGGCTTATAGTGCTTGTGACATCTATAACTTTGATGAAACAGTACTTTTCTATGCCGCCCCACCAAGAACAACGATTTCCTGCCAGAAATTTTCTGGTTGGAAGGAAAATAAGAAGTGGCTTACAGTAGGCCTTTTGTGCAATGCCGATGGAACAGACAAGTGGTCTGACATATTGATGATTGGTCATGCAAGAAGACCAAACTGTTTTAACAAAAACAACAAAAAACAAGAGGCAGTAGATCATGGATTTTCTATGTATCATTACAACAGTAATGACTGGATGACACGATCAATCTTCCATGTTTTCCTCCATCGCTTTGATCGTTCAATG